CACACACACTTTTGAAAACTTAAAAAAAAACGAAAGACAAAAACCCCCCCAAAAAGAATGAAAGATTAAAAAAAAACCCCCAAACATAGACCGAGAAAAAAAAAGCAAAACAAACCCCAAAAGTCACATGACTAGAAGCACAATAAAGATAGTGAGGAAGTCTGAGTCTTTTTTTGCCTACCTCCAAAACATAAACGACCCAGTCCCGCCTGGGTGGCTTGATCCATTCCGGAGCATTGTTCTGGGACTCTTGAATGACGACACTCACTGGCACCTCCCGGACACACGGTGACATGGACAGGTCCCCTTTCATGTCAGTCGCAGTCACCGTGAAGTTGTAGGTACCCACTTTGTTCTTCAGGTTACCCTTTGTGAGGAGGCGGCCCACATTGTTCGTGGTCCATATGCGGAAGAGATCTTCATTGCCTGCGGAAGAATACAGTATAGTATGTTTTTTTTATTGGGGGTAAACAGAAGCGTGTCAGCACAATTACTGTCATTTTGTGCAATAAAAAAGTATGACTGATGGACAGACAGACAAAAACAAGAGAGGGAAAGAAGGAAAGAAAAGAGACGGTATCTTTCACTGGCGCCCTCCAATAACCCACAAAGTATACTGATGCAGATTAATTTTGCAGAACTAGTCAGTAATGATCTGTTCTCGCTAAATATGGAATAGAATTCAATGGAAGCAATTTCATAGAATTCAACGAAGCAATTTCAGGTTGATAAACATCACTTAAAGAAGCACTTACTTAGGACAAATTGTAAGGGAAAGTGATGTTTATCTGCAGTGCCTGTGTGTGGAGAGGCTTCCTTACAAAACGCTTCGAATTTTTGCCAAACTATTCAAATGTTCTAAGCCCACTAAGTAAAATATTTTAGGAGAGGAAAAATGTTTCATTCTTTTATAAATTAAATCCACATTATGCATCTTTTCTGGCTTTATTCATTACAGTCTAACAGACATATAGCAAAACACACAGAGAGCAAACATATTATAAGATGCAAATTGGTTGCATGCATTGTACGCTTCCCAGGAAGCCGAGAATATTTCTAAGTGTTCTAGGGTCTGCTGGGATTATAACATAGACTTAAAGCCCATACAGCTTGCTGTTCAGCAGGGATATGATGCGTTACATACATCTATCCATCCATCCATCCACCCACCCACTCATCCATCTATTATTCATTCATTCAATCATTCATTCATTCATTCATTATTGGACTACTGTAGAGGTTTTCTTACTTGGGGGAAAAAAACTGCCAGGCTTGATGGCATACATTATCTCCCCTCCTAGTCCACTATCAAGATCGGTAGCTATGATGTCCAAGATGTTTGTGTCTCTGGTGGCAGTCTCTGGCACGGAGCCTGAGTAGAACGAGTGGGACCCGAAATCTGGACAGTTGTCGTTTGTGTCGCTGATTCTGATGATGACCTGGGAGAGAGAGAGGACAGAACAAGAGGGGGTTAGAGAATTTTCAATTTGTAAACGTCGCACAGCACCCAGTGAAAAGCATTATACTTCCCAATACCAAAGCACCATCCTTGAGTGTACTAATGAATGGTAGTAGAAGGAAAATGGCTACCATAAGAGATCAAAGTCGAAGGTGTTATGATAAGATTTTTGGATGTGAAAGAGATGAAATCCAACTGAAATGCACCTAGCTTTAGCTTGTTTCTAATAACGAAAGGTTGTCACTTTTGCAGCATGACAAGGCCACACCCTATACAATACAATTAAACAGACAAAGGATTAGCTTCAGAGATACAATTGATTGGGGTGTTCTGCCACACCTACCATACAGTCCAGACCTTGCCCCTTTAGATTATCACCTGTTTTGACTCATTAAATGACATCTGACAGGACAAAGCTTCACCGAGGAAGATTATTCCACTGAAGAAGTGAATAATGTGATTGCTATTTTTTAATGAGAATTTCTTGAGGGAGGGTATATATATACATTCCTTTGTGCAGAGATGATAAAAATGCATTGACCTTTTTAGGGATTACACTGAGAAGTTAATAAACAGTGTGAGTACTTAATGCTGAAATTTCATTGTAATTAGATTGGCACTTTCAAGTTACGGCCATTTTCACCTTAATCTCGGGAAAGCCCTCGTAGTATACTTTAATTAATGTTCAAGAGTATTTTTTCGTGAGGGTCTTTTCTTTCTTTCGGAAATGATTTGTGAATTTGTGGGAGGACATTTTTCCTTACCCAGACAAAGAAATTTTGTGGTATGAACACTCCTTTGAAAAAAATTACTTGTGAAAAAATACTCTTTAACAGTAATGAGTTGTTTGAAGAAAAATCTGAAGCTGATTGATCAGTATGAGATGCTACCCTTAGTATTTATCAAAAGACCAGCTCACAAATTCATGACTTTCACCAGGCGGACATTTTTGCAATCTCAGTCCATGACTGCCTAAGGGCAAAAATTTTCTTCTCATGAAAAACACTCTTTAACAGTTCGGTACCTTAGAACTATGAAGTTCTCTCTGCTCAGTACCTAGTTTTGATAAAGGTGACATCAAAACTACTTAGTTTTACAAACATGTTAAGCTTTTTCTCATGAAATTCTTTGAATATCTTGATAACGACTCCGAATAATCTTACTAATTTGATACAGCAGATAGTATTGATTTCTGACCATGTGGTCTTAGTAACTCAAAATGGCCAAAAATGACAGAAAGAACTTTGTAATTCTAAGGCAACCAGTAGTCCTCAATTCATCAAAGCATGAAGCTGTTGAGTTGTAATTCCAACTAGACAGCACAACAACGTCTACATTTCTGCGGGCTTAAGATTTGTTTCAGTTGGAGTAAAGAGAATTACAAATCACGTCGACACATTAACAATCGTTTAGTTTCAGTTTTAGCAGAGGTTTTATGGCGTTGGAACTGCATAAGGTCATATGAGCGCCAGAAGATTAGAGGTGTTACAAGAGAGTAACAAACAAAAAAGAAGGAGGGGAGATAAGGACGACAGATGTTTGACAGGAAAGAAGAAGCAAACCACACCAGAGCACCTGCCAACCACACATAATCGTTTAGGGCAGGGAAAAAGTAACACAAACAGACAGAAAGAATATAGGGAAAGAATCTGCATTTACGTGATCTAATTGTCTAGCAAGTGCTCTAAAATGCTAACAGAAACAAAGAGGGAAAGAAGAGTAGCCACCCTCAAATCACCAATAAATTCAAAATTATAACAAAAGAAACAGTGAAAAGGAGAAAGAGGGCCACACAAATCCAGAGCTTCCATGAACTAGGCATGACACTTACTTGAGCAGTGGTCTGTCTCCGCACATCCGGATTGTTTGGGCTGTCTAGAGCAATGACTTGTAGCACATAAGACTCGGCTTTCTCTCTGTCAAATCTTGCATTAGGTTTGACAAATATCTGGCCCTGTCAGTGAAAAGAGATGAGATTGTGAGACACATCGGTCTATGCAGTGGGGACTTTAACATGGAAGGAAACGTTTATGCACAAATGAAAGGGGGGGCTCATGGCCTAGGGTCTCATTAAATAGGTCCCGTGTTCAAATCTGGAGAGCGACAAAAAATGTTCTTGTCCTTTTACATCCTTTCCTGCTCTCTAACAATGTTTTATCGTCTGCTTTCGTCTCCACTTTCTTCCCCCATCCCTTCACCCCCTTTGCCCCCTCCTCTGGCCTCCTGACTCTTTCTGCAACCTTTCTACTGCTTTTTCTTGGCCCCTTCTTATTGCTGTCTTTCAGCCACACCCGATCTTAAGGTAGGTTAAAATCTACACTTAGCCTCCTCATACAAGGGCGAAAAATCTCGGAGGTCCTGTGTGCAAGTTAGGCACCTTAAAGAACCCTTGATGGTCCAAAATCAATAAGAGTAGACTTCGGCCGCCACCCACGCAAAATTCACAATTTCCTACCCACTGTAAATGTTTGGTGTGTCCCGCACGCTCTTATGATCTTATGCAGTTGCGAGCGCGGTAAAACACTTCAAAAAAATAATAATTAAAAAACCAAACAAATGAAAGGTAATACATGAACAAAGTAAGACTCACATTTCAGGGGACAAACTCATTGAAGACTGGGGTTCCAAATAAAGCAACAGTTCAATAAGAGTTAATTCTCCGTGGGGGGATAAACCCACTATGCCGAGGCCCCTTTTTGGTACTAAATCTAAAAATGCTGAAAGCCTCACTAAATTGATCATTAAATCAAAACAAGTAAACCTATTTCGATAGTTCTTCATCTAATGAATGAACTCCTGGTAAAAGAGACCTATTTTCGGCAATTGCCGAATAGTAAGTTGATGTCCAAGTAGTCGTAAAGGAATGTGCTCGAGCAGCTGTCAGCTGCTCACCGGCACAGCAGTTCCGACTGCGAGCCGCTGGCTTGCCAGAGCCAGAGATAAAGAGTCAATAAACCTATTAAAGCTAACAAGTCACTACTATCTTTGAAGTAAGAGCAACTGCTCTGATAATTTTTTGTAAATGGCAAGAAGGCTTTGCCTTGATAAGATAACATAAAAAATAAGATACACTGTCACTCCACCAATGAAAGAAAGCAGCTGTGAATAACTTAAGATAACACAACTACTACATTTCTGACAGTTGACCAAGAAGACAAACAGCAACAGACAGCTAGATAGATACATTTCAGAGCATTTGTGCGTGTGTGATTGAAGAAAGGTCACTGTTGTCGGAAATTCTGGATATTGAAATAAGGGCATATTCTTGTAGCAAATTCAATGCTGAACACGTGGATTTTTAAATCTTTCAAATATCTTGAGAAGTTTTAGTCACTCGCTACATTTTGTAACACAGGGTGTAAAAACAAAGTTTGGAGAAAAACCAAATTTCTAACATTAATTTTTAACCTTTTGTGAATTACAACATGTGGCAAAAAGAAGTAACACAAAAATATTTAGACTTGAAATAACTGTAAAATCCTTTCAGTATTGTTATTAACAAGGCTAAATGTGTGTTTTTCAGACGGAACCTAATTTTTGACCAGGTTCACCCTGCTGCTAAAAAATAGCTTTGCCGACACCTGGGACCTTTCACAGGCACACACACACATTTAAGCATCTTACCGTTTGATTGTTGATCCTGAAGAAGTTGTCCGGGTCATTCAGCTGGTAAAACACTACACCAAAATCTCCCCTGTCCAGATCATTTGCTGCCACTGTGGTCAGATACTCTTCTACAGTTTTGTTTGCCTCAGAGGTCGTGGGAGTGTAAGTAGTCTGCAGGTACAGAACATTTTGGTCAAGAATTTCTAAGTGTTTGAAAGACTATGGTCAGACAAGAAAAAGTATTATCATACCGAAAAGATTGGCTCTCAAATCAACGTCAATGTTGTACATAGATTAAAGATTGATGAGACAAAAACCAGTCCAAGGTCATCGTCCTGGGAGGTGGGCACAGGACAAAGGAGGGGATTGCTGGGTTTAATGAAGTATGGAGTGGCTTTATGTCATTGAGGCAATATGCTACCTGTGGCCGAGAGCCCGGGTCAACCTGAAACATTGCTGGATAATGAAGATCTCATGAAACCTTCACAGCTCTACAAGCCAATGGCCAATTTTCAAATTGCTCCAGACAATACGCAGAGATTAAAACAGACAGATCTTAATGGCAAATAACAAAGAAACATTGAAGGACAATGAGACAGGACAAAAAAGAATAAGCAAACCCAGAGAAACAGCAGTAAGCCCCTGGAACATCAGCGGAGTAAGAAAAAAAGAGTCAGAGATAATGCAATTCATAAAGAAGAAAAACCATCTTGGATCTCATAACGACAGAAAAAAAAATCCATTTACATCAAAGAACAACTGTTAGCACTCTGCTGAAGCACAGACTGATTATAACAAACACCTTCTACCACTGCACACACAGTCAAACTCAAACCTGGTACAAAAGGAACAATCTCACAGTATCAGTACAGAGGGAAACTTCATTCTAACTAGGTTCAGGAATATGTGCATGATCACTGACTTATTATCAGCTACCCCAAAAACTAACTTGGATACGGACCACCAACATAGCATTTTTAAATACTTGCTGTATGAAGCAAAAACTCAAAAGAAAAATGAAAACAACAAAAGCTGTCAACATGATAAACAATGTAAAGCAAGAAGTGAAAGGTGTTGAGATGAGGATCACAGCAGAGATACAAATCCACTGGCCAGCAGATAAAGGCAAAAGCAAAAGCAACAAAGAAAGAAAAAGAGGTAGGAGGAGCAAGTAAAAAAAGTTTAAAAAACCCAACAAAGATAAGGGCACCAAACTGTCCCTGTGGTTTTATGCACCCCGCATAAATTTAGCAAAATTTGACCATTTTTTGCATAATTTATAATTATTTTCCTATCATTCTTAGTTAAAATTAACAGAATCGCATAATTTCACATTTTTGGGCTCAGTTTGCACAATTTCAGAATTTTTTAAACATAAAACGACGGGGACAGACAAAAAAAAACAACATTCACTCACCTGGTTGAATTGAGGTGTGTTGTCGTTGATGTTGATCACGTCAACAAAGACACTGGCCGTAGCTGTCCTCCGTGGTGTCCCACTGTCGGCGCACCGGGCCACCAGCGTGATCCGCTCGAGACCTTTCTCGTAGTCGATACGGTCGTTCACTATCATGGTCCCTGATTTGGGATGGATTCAAAAACATCTTCTGAGTTTTTAGTTTGAGAAAACAGAAGTACATCAACACATTAACAGTCGTTTAATTCTGGGGAAAAGCAAGACAACAGAAAAAGTTTTTTTTTGGTTTCAGTAAGAGTTTTACGGTACTCGCAACTCAATTGGGTCATATAAGTGCTGAAGATTAGAGGTGTTACAAGAGAGTAACAAACACAAAAAAAGAAGGTGGAGAAATAACGAAGATTGATAGAAAAGAAGGAGCAAACCACACCTGAGCACTCGCCAACCACTAATAAACAGAGAGATGGAAATTTTCCTTCAAGAGTAAAGAAGCAGGACCTACCCATGATTCCTCCAACCAGCCGCAAGAAGAATATATTCACGGGAAATGTTTTGAGTACAAAGAAGGAAAAGCTCTTCAATTCTCCAACGCCATGTTTGTTCATTGGATTAAAGAGAGGCACATGACATTGTCACAACAACAGTAATTTAGTGTGAGGAAAAATCAAGACAGACACAAACAGATGGAAAAAAATGGGGACTGGTAAAGAGGCAGGACCTGCCAGTAGTGTAACTTCCAACCACCCATCTTAAACAATGTTTGTTCATTCCTTCATCTTGATTTTCACTCGTAGTACAGACTGCCATATCATCAGAGTCATTTGATAATCAGCAAAATCAATTTCTGAAGGTTTTTTAGACAAAGCTGTTTTTCAAAAGAAGACATCGAGAGGCATTTTATAAAAAGTGTCACATGGCTGTGGAATCAGGCACTTGTCAATTTTTGTGCAAATGGAGTTATTGGTATATTTTAAAAGCTTATTCCTTTGTCTTGCTTTCAATAAGAAAAAAGCCCATCTATCTTGAATAGAAGTCGAGATATTTGCGATTGATGGAGGTGGGGTCGCCTGGTTTCAGTGATAAAATTAAAGAGAAAATGGCCACAAAAAGTCGGTAACTTCAACAGCTTGAGAGTCTTTGAAAACTGAAAAGTTACAGATTTTGTGCCTTTAATTAACGATTTTCAGTCAAATTCACATGGAAATGTGTTTTTATATGGATATAAAAGGTGTTGAGCCAAAAAACAAAAACTCGATAAAAATTGCCAAACAGGCAGAAAAATCCTGTTTTTTCAGTTTAATTATTTTGAGGAGCGCCAGATTTCATCACGATACCTCACATTTAGTTTCGTTTTGTTTCATTATTCCTTCTAAGTAATCTTAGTTTTTAATCAAACAATGGCAAGAGCCCAAGTCATGTTTCTGTTTTGAGTGATCTCTTTTTCTTTGATTTTCTCAAAACTTCAAAAGTATGACTATTTTCAAAGGTATTCTTCAGAATATATGTGGACCAGAGTTTCTTCAAGTTGGACTGAGATAAGTTAAGATTTCTATCCACAGAACAAGTCTGGGTTGATAATGGTAAATACTTAAAGACTTGTAAACTTCCAGAATGTTGTGCGATTTATTAAAGACATACGCACACAGTAATGGCCTTTTCAGTCTGTAAAATGAAAATAACTGAGACAAAAAAAAAAGAAAAGCAGAACCTATAATGAACACCCTCCAACTACATGTTAAGCAAGGTGCAAGCCAAGAGAACAAGAGAAAAAAAAAGTTTAAGTTTTTAACCTTGGACATTTGCACCAACCCCTTAACTGCCTCTCCCTGGACTGTATACGCTCAAAGGTGAGACTATAAAGCAGGCCTGGTAGTGAAGGGATAAACAAAGAAAAAATCATATCTTGTTCATGAAAACACCCATTAGCCAGCAACAGTACAAATTCTGAGCTCAACAAACAGTTATGACATACCTGTCTCTCCAAGAAGGCCAAAATAGTCGGGGAAATTTGGTATAATTTGTTCCAGGCTGTAAGAAGCAATGTCATCATCATCGTCCTTGCACTGTAAGCTTTCAACAAATGAATTCCTGATGGTTTCTTCTGTGATGTTCAGCCTGTACTCACTCTTGACAAAGTATGGATCTTGATCGTTGTATTCCGTGATACGAATGAATAGAGCACCTGAAAGGAAGAATATAAAGCTGAAGTCTGATCAACCTCAGTAACCTTCTACAATAATAAGTGTAAACAAATGAACAGACCCAAGATTAAGATCAAACTGACTATTCAGAATTCCTTCAAAACAAATGACAACATGGAAGGGTATTTACTTTGTAGCAGATCATTCTTGTTATCAAACCAGTTACCTTCGGTTTATTTTCCAACTTTTTTTTTTTAGATGTTGAAAAAAGAAAAAAACAACAAAATATTGGCTATTAGGTACAAGTATGGTGTGTGAGAATTCATCAGAGGAATGGTATTTTTTGGGCATACCTTTAGGAATAGGACAGTTCCAAAATCTAATCTCTCTAAACGAAGAGATTGGGAAAGGGGTAAGTGTCCAAAAGCCGATGTGAGAAGAAAACAACCACAAAGAAGTAGGGTTACCTGTTCCTTCCTGGACGGGGTTTGCTCCTTGATCCTGGACAGTGAGCTCATTGGTGATAAAGGCTACCTGATCTCTGTTCAGAGCCTGGTTGACAGTCACTACACCAGTGATGGCATTGATTGTAAACATATTCTGCCAAAGAAATATCAACCAAAGCTTACGGCATTGAACCTCAAGGAAAACAAACTGGTTATACATTCAATAGCTTAGAGTTCTGTACAATGCTGGATAATCAGCTAAAAACAAAAAAACTGTAATTATTTTATGCCCCCCATTGACAAAATTTAGATCATACAGGAGGTGAGCTGAGCTGCTTTGAACCAAACAGTCAGTGCCAACATGTGCTGAGTATGAAACAGTATTCCAGCACAAAGATGGACGAACTTGATAAAATAGGTCTTCCCGTGTGGCCCCAATGATAAAAAAAAGAATAGAGAGAGAAAAAAAGGGCAGCCCCCATGTATTTTTGGGGGCATACCTTGAGTTAACCAGCCATGAAATTTAAAAAAACGAAAACTCTATTTCACCTTTGGCATACAGAGCATTCTGTGCTTGGGTAACTTACCTTAAAGTCAGCATCTGAAGGAAGGCCATTGGGTTTGGTTCCTGAGTCAGGCTCCATGAAGAATCGGAGTTTCTTATTGACATCTGGATCCTCAGCAGTAACTTTATGGACACTTCTGCCAATGGGAGTATCTGAAAAAAACAACAACCCCAGTTGTTGACCAAAGTGAAAGCTATACTACATTGAAACAGTGAGGTTCATAATTTTAGAATATCAGAGCTTGAAGAGCCTAAAATTCAATTACATAGGCCTATATATTATCATTGACAAGCTGTTAAAACATACTAAGCCCTGAAAGCAAAAGTTTACTGGAGAGAGAAAACGTTTATTCTTTCTGCAATTGTACAAACAGCATGGATTTTCCCTTGCTTTCTTCGACATTTAGAATTCGAATTTCAACAATATTTCTTAACCACATGCAACGGATACCACAAATTAAGAAACTGCAATAAAAATTTTTGGCAAAATTTTGGGCTTAGTACGATTTAACATATGGAACTGACCTCACACTTGACATAATATTATAGATAGTAAAGTGCATTGAACATGCTGTTGAGCAGGAATTTGCCAAAATGTTATTTATTAATTATTATTATCTAGATAGCTCCATAGTGGGTAAAGGGTTAAAGAGCAAAACAGAAAACACAAAAAATACAGCTACGGACACAGAAAAAGCTGGAGAGACAGCAAGAGACAGAGGAGGAAGCTACAGTAAAGAAGCAGGATCAACAAGTGGCACCCTCCAAATAACCACTCGACGATTACTAGCAATGAAGGAGCTTACCTTCTCTGACATTGATTGTCTGGCTGGTTGGTTTAATCACGGGGCTCTTGTTGTTTGCGTCTGTGATGGACACGGTGAGAGTGGCTGTCCCTGTCCTGGCGGTCGGGGTGCCTCTGTCTCTTGCTTCCAGCTGAGGAGAGAAACGACATGATAGATATCATCATTTTGAGATAATAAGCCTCACTTGTTTGTTTTAGTTTTAGTAGAGGTTTTACGGCGCTTCCAACTGCATAAGGTCATATGAGCGTCAAGGGGTTGATGTCAACAGAGAAGTCCTTACAGGGAATCAGACTTACTCTGCTCACCTCTCTAGCTTCAACAGCACAAAGTCTGCTTCGACTAACAAGGCTCCCCGGAAATAGCGGGTCACAAGAGTGTGACAAACATACAAAAGTAGTAGAGGAAAATGACAATAGTAAGGATTAGGAAAGAAAAAGCAGCAGTTCCCTGTTGTAGTTCAGGCACAGTTATGAGGATAACATTGTTGGATCAGCCCATCTACAATTCTACTGTGCATTAGAACGAAAAATGTCCCCCCTTTGGGAATGGTCTAAAGACACTTCAGTCAGTGGCACCGCCCCAGGGGGTTCCTTACTTGTTCGCAAGGGTACTTATTTTACAAAACTATTGACACAAAGGCCATTCCAGTTTTACTCAAACTTGACCATAGAGCGATTTATCAGGAAAGTATTTTTCTTTTCTTTTTTTTGTTGTTGTTGTACACACAGATAAGAGGAGAACATTCCAGCAGTGAAGAGTCAAATTTGTCTAGGCCCCAACCAAGACACAGTTGAACAACCTGTGCATAAATCTTTTACTGCATCCTTCAACATGATATAAGTCATAAGTAGAAATAAGTTTTAAGTACGAGTTTTAGTTTTAGTAGAAGTTTTACGGCGCTCGCAACTGCATATGTTCATATGAGCGCCAGAAAATTAGAGGTGTTACAAGAGAGTAACAAACATGAAAAAATAAAAAGGGGTGATAAGGACGATAGATGTTTCATAGCAAAGAAGAAGCAAACCACACCAGAGCACCCGCCCACCACCCAAAGTAAGAGTTTTACAACACTTGCAACAAAATAAGGTTGTATAAATGCTAAAGATTAGAGGTGTCACAAGAGATGAAAAAAAAAGAAAAAAAAGAAGGAATATAAATAAGGACGACAGATGCTTGATGATAGACAAGAAAGAAGGAGCAAACCACACCAGAGCACCTGACAACCACCCAGTAACTAGACTTTCTGGCAAGATCAAATTGAAAGTGAGGACATAACAGTTCAAGTATTGCCACTTCCAGTGTATGCTTCAATAGTGGTGGGTTAATGTTCACATTCAGATACAAGGACAATGCAATAGGCTCCGCTCCCAATGATTCCTGTCTGGCGTGTGGCACAAGTCCTGACGACCTGCAGCGCGCACTGTATGAGTGCCCGCGGGGGGAAAGCACATCGAGGCCCACTTATGGAGAACAACGCGAGACCGGGCCCGAATGTACTCTGGACGAGGCCACAAGAGGTTGCCGCTTACCTTTCTGCCTGCGGCAGACTGCCGCCCTCCTGACGGAGGCCAGCCAGAAGAAGAAGAAGAAGAAGAAGATACAAGGACAGTACAAAGACACATTTTCTGTATTACACTATTTGACGAAAGTAATCACTTCTGTTGAGCTCGATGATAAATAGCATATGTGTCATGAATCATGCGCTCGTCAATTTTCGGGCATATGGAGTTATTGGTATAATCTTAATGCCTGTTCATTTGCCATGATTTTTGATGAAAAAAATACCCATCTATTTTGAATAGAAGTCGAGATATTTGCTATTGTAGGAGATGAAGGTTGCCTGGTTTCATAGGTAACATCAGTGAGCAAATGGAGGCCAAAGTTTGGCGACCTCCAAAGCTTGAGATTCCTTAGAAACTGAAACTAAACAACATTTTACAGTAAAGTCTACACAGAAATATGTTTTTGAAAAGACATAAAAGGTGTTGAGACGAAAAACAAAAATCAGATAAATATTGCAAAACTGGTGGAATAATGCCGTTTTCTTTGATTTCATTATCTTGACGAGCGCCAGATTTCACCACAATGCCTCACATATGATAAAAGCACGTTTAAACTTACAATTAACTTGTACTCGTTCTGAGTCTCAAAGCTAAAGCGAGCGTCTTGCGTTGTGCGAATATCCATTGAAAAAGTGTCATCTGGATTCTTCCGTCTGTTTCTCAATTGGAATTTCCCGACAGCACCACTCTGGATGGCAAAGTCAATAACTCCGTTACCAGTGGTGGGGGAGTCCAAGTCCTTTGCTGTGACAGTCAACAGGTAGGTCTCTGAAGAATGAGACAGACAAAATAAGAATTATCAGTACTGACAACATATTGGTAATAACATAAGATAATCCACCAGCTCAAACTAGCAACCAAATTAATAAAAGCTTAAGAGTTGAACCTGTTTAACAATGTCTATGAATCAGGACAAATACTCTAAACGTAAGAAGATACTAATAATAAAACTATAGAACTATAGTTTATGATGCAGCCAGTAAAGCCTTTACCCCCCACCCCCCCTCCCTCCCAATCAACCCTTTCCTGCTTTTCAAGCAAAAGAAAAAAAAAGAAACAGAATATACATGAACTTGTACATTCATATTGTAATTGCGAGGGACATTTGTGTTACATATTCAAACAATCATCATATACTTGAAAATGGCTACCACTCGAAAGTTCAAAAGAACATAAAGATATACAGATACCGCCACGCTCAGGTTTGACTGCACTGATTTTTTTTGTGTCTGACAATCCAAGATGGGCATTTTGTGGAGACCAATTCCTCACAACTTCCATATGGTACAGAACTTCAACATTTGTACGATTGTAAAACGTACTGAGCACTTTCCTATAAAACTGAAATTTATTAATCAATTTATTATTATTTATTATTTCAGATTAAAGACTAAAAAAGGGGAAAAGTAATGAGAAGACCAATTGCTCGATCAACTTCCATGAAACTTACCACCAACAACTTGCTCTGACATACTATGCTTGTAGGTAGGAGAGGTGAACTCAGGAGCATTGTTATTAATGTCCTGAAGGGAAAAAGGTATGCATTATAGTACACTATTGAAATTCTACTTAATGGTATCAAATCTGATGACCGACATCTGTAGAGTGAAGGCTAGGCTCTTCGATTTTGCAAACAGAACATATGTTTAATTCTCTTAAAGAGGGAGTACATTTTATCCAATATCTCTATCTTCCAGCTAGGATATCATATCCGACTTATCCATAGATGCGTCGGAGGAGCAGGGTCAAAGCACTCTGCCAGCAGAATTATCTAAATTATGTTATAAAAAGAGTAAAAATAATTTACAATCAGTTGATTTTTCTATTAAATTATATAACTGAAGTTATATTTTCACAGTGTTTAAATTAATTATAAGAAGCGCTGATTCATTGTCCCTGGAAAGCTAGAAATAATTCTTATAACCCAATTACGAGAAGTCATCCTGTTATTCCATCAACTTACAAAATCTAGCTAGACTTAGCGTTTTAAGAAAAGTAAGGAATTTCTGGAGTATAAAAGGTACCGTTCCTGTATTAAATTTGTAGTTGTATTCTAGCACTAAAATCGGATTGTCCTTTTTCTTAGAGAGACTTCAGGGTAATTTTTATAAACTTTTGAGAAAATGTGGGAATATTTACGATTATATTAGACGCATAAAGTTGTATTTGGAAGAATTATATACTTCATAGCGAATTGTGCGCAAAATGGATAAAGTGACAAAATTACAGCTTTCTGTTATATGCGCAGATACCATCTTTTCTGAGTATCTGCACCAATATTTTGTTGTAACTCCAAAAGTTCAAGAGTTTTTGTCGTGCCATCTTTTTTATATTGATTTTTTTCCATTCACATTTGTTTTAAAAAATTTTTAATTTAGCATTGCTGACTTCAGCGTGTCTGACGAAATAACGAGGCAAGTTACAATGTCTATTCTTTTTTGAGTCTCAAGAGCAGAAATACCTGCTTTGGATGCATTAAATGATAATTACCATAAATACAAGGATACACCTAAAACAGTATGTTAAAAAGTACAAAAAATTAAGTCAGCCCAGACAGAGCAGCGACAAGGAGCTGACCCCCCATGACCCCGACGTGATAAGGCGCCCGGCGGTGCCCCCCCCCCTGCAACTAAAATTCCACTGCTGGTGTGCTGTGATCGGTGCCCCTAATTAACTATAACTTTTAACAGTTATTCTTGTAGGTATTTCCATAATAATTGGTCCAAATTCGTTCATCTCTTGATCGCATTAAATCTTTTCAAACTTAATAACAATCATCCTTTCATGACATGAGGCTGTGACCACTGTAAACAAAAAGCAATCCCAACTTAATTCAACTTATCCAAAGAGCACTTACGATAACAATGATGGTGACTTGACTGACAGCCTTGTTCTTCTGGTCGTATGACACGACTGTAAAAGTAAACCTGTGAAAAAATAAAAACTCTCGTGTTAATCCTTGTAGTCAGAATTTAGGAGAAAAGGAAACACTCGTAACACTTTGATTTATGTTCTACAACCAAACTCCCATAGCCTTTGAGACTTAAGATTTGGATTCCAGAGCCCTTATATAAGGTTTAGGTCCGAAAGGCTACATCAGTAAACAGGCAGGATCAATATTCTACAAGAGTAAAGATCACCAACAATCTGAAACGAAATGAAGTTTCCGGATTTTTCATCGACAATTTGTAGGCTGAGCTCCAAAACACAGGGAAATCAAGAGAGGAAACAGATGAAAATAGATATCATTTAATCAAACCATAGCTCACAGGAATTATTAAAATAAATTTTTTTGTTATGTCCCATTTTATTATCTACCTGTTAACCTCAAACTATATAGGCCTGTATCCTCAGGTGGGTGCATTTCTGTGCATATCCCTTTATATACATGAACCTTTTTTCCATTCGTTTTGAACACATGCCAAAAGGGGAACGGGTCATAGTTTTCAGACTTAGGGCAGGAGAGAACTGGCTGAATGCACATATTATGGACAAGAATCTAGGGCGTGGCCAGTCAATGGCACGCCCATGCAATATCTCAACCATGACTACAGAACATCTACTTAAGCAATGCTCTATACAAGACAGTCCAAAGGTAGTACTGGTTTTATGGCACAAATAGGTCAGGTAAGTGCCAAAGGGACAAATTCTCAGATAATTAAACTACTAACAAAAATGCATCAATCTTCAGAGAAACTTTTTATGGCAGGGGCTGAAAGGCATAACTACATAATGTGCAAGTTTTATAAACATTCGTATAGTCATTTGTTTATTCAGTATTTTTTTCCTCTTACTGCTTGGACAGCCCTTGTATAAGGCAGCCGCAAAGACATTACAAATAAACTCTTACAGAATATAGCTGTTGAGAAAACAATTATCCTGAAACAGAAAAGAAACGAGATCTCAGTAGCCTCTATAAATAACTTTAAACCAGTCACAATAATAATAATAATAATAAATAATAATAAAAAACAGCATTTGTATAGCGCATCCTCTCTTGACAGAAAGCTTTATACACTTTTCACTATGCTATCGTTATTAATTTGCTTTACGTACTGTCCTTTCTCTTTATCAGGAGCATCTGAATAGAGCACACCCCGGGTAGCAGTAATGTTGGCATAAGAATTATTGGTGCCAGGTCGGACGCCCTGTGTTATCTGCCAGAGGTTGCTGCCACTTCCTTCGATGGTGTACACAATGGGTCCTCCCACTGTATCTGGGTCCACAGCCTGTGAAATACAGAAAGAACTAAATTAAAAAAGTAAATCAAAGAATGTTCCTTTTAAGGAAAGTAAGAAGTTTATGTGTTGATAGTAAGATTATGTCCTTTTTATACAATTCTATGTTTGAAAGCGTGCTATTATTTTGTATTTGCTGCTGGGCTGGGAATTGTAAGTTGAAAGATTAAGAAAAATTAGACAGAACCATTAAGGAAGCCAGCAAGACCTCTGGATATGATTTTACTAGAATTGATGAAATGTATAACACCACACAGACAAAAATGATACAAAGCATTATAAATGACCCACCACACCCCCTTTCCATGCTAATTATAAGATCACGCAGCAGATATGTACCTCCAAAAACAAAGAAAGAAAGATATAAAAGAATTTTTTACCATCTAACATAAGGCTATTGTCAGAATGAGTATAGATGTGTGTTGCTCTTTAGAGTATGTATCTATGTACCCCCAAAGGTCTTGCAATTAAATATTTACCTGCACGTGGATCAATGATGCATCTGATGTGAATGTACATTTTGTCAGCTTTACTTGTCTTTTCATATTGAAATTTTAATGAGAGTAATATATAATTTGATTTTTTAAAGTCTACCTGCATGTGTTTTCACTGTCTTGTACTGCCAAACAAAATTTTCCTCTGGGATAATAAAGTATTATCTTATCTTAACTTCAACCTCTACTCTTTTTTTGTCAACCCTTTGAACCCGGGCTCCTAAGCCGTAACCCCTTCACTGCCCCCAGTGGGCCAAGAAGTGCTTCCCTGTGCCATGTGCCCATTGATTCGGCAGGCCCATGAAGAAGTCATTTTTAGTGTAATTTTCCACTGTCTAAAGGGACAAAACTGCGTCACGACTAATCCTCATAGATATTACAGGAGTCTCCCGAGAATCTGAGCGTCGTTTTCATTGTTTTGAAGAAGGGAAGTGTTGACGTTCTCAGTTGTGTTTACGGTTTGTTTTCCTTTTTGCAATGGCATCCAACAGACCGGTCTATCGACCTTCCTTTTTAGCTGCAGAAGTTCTAGACAAAATTAATGAATGACTGTAACAGTGATGATAATGATTTCAATTGAGTTTCTGAGTTAGGAGCTCTATGTGACGCTTGTAGTAATTGGAGCAATTTTCCCCGGTACAGCTATGTAGCTCATAGCTGGCAGTGAAGGGGTTAAGTCCTTATCTCTGGCAAGCCGCTATGCAGCTTGCAGTTGGAACAGCTGTACTGGTGAGCCGCTGGCTCAGGCACATTCCTTTACGATGACTTCCAAAGCCAAATTACTTTTTGGCAATTGCCAAAAACAGGTCTCTTTTACCGGGAGTTCATTCATTAGATGAAGAACTATGGAAATAGGTTCCCTCATTTTGATTTAACGACCAATTTAGTGACATATAAGTTAAGGCTTATTTAAGATTTCGTTTCAACAGAGACCCACAGCATGGTGGGTTTACCCCCTTGGGCTCTTGAGTAATTTCATTGATTTCTTAGGTACACTTTTCTACATCTCATTTAAGTGTTGATCTTAATTATTTATCTCATTTTTTATTTTAGGTTGTAATATCACTATGCTGGTGTATATTGATGCTGCTGTTTTGTATTTGTGGTCTATTTCTGTAAACATATGTTATATTTAGGTGGATGAGCCATACCGATATTTCGATAATCCAGAGTGTTTGCCGTCTGAGCACATACCTCATCATGCATGAGCTTCACCCTTGCACCCACTGAATACATGCCTCGATGTGCAGTGCTGTAAATCTAGCAGTCTACACGAATAGAGTTCAAGTGGAAAAGTGGTGTAGGCTATGAGCCTACAGTGCAGTCAAAAATTCGTGGGGCAAGTTATCCTCAAATATCTCTTAAACAGGTAAATCAATGTCATCCATACATTGCACAGCAGTTTGTGTCAATTTGTCTTAACCTAATCATATTTTTTCAGAACAATTGAGGCCAGATGAAAAACTTTTCTCCATAAATTTATATAAAATACTATAAATCTTTATCATGAGGAAAATGGGATTGTTCAAAGCACTTCCCGCTTCTGACACACATTTTGCATACATGCATATATGGCCTACGTTACAGCTCATCAACGACACATTTTAGTAGCAAAACTTGTTAAAGGAAATTAGTTTTATAGCAAACACATTTTTTGCAGGTTCTCAAAACATGCGTTCAATAAAAGAGTCATGATTAGAATAAAATGACGGACCTGCTTTGAAAAGCGATATTGCCCCAACTATAATACCTTTTAAAATCTGTAGAAACCACCTACTTGGATTTTTTATTAGTATTTATTAAGGAATTTTCTAGAACACAGCTAACGGGTGTTAACAACAATATTGATATGTTAAGACAAAATGGTACAAGTCATTGTGCAAAAGCTGGAGAGTCTGTGCTCGACAGTTTAGGAAATATTTGACAAGTGCCTGATTCCACAGCATCATGACACATATTCAGCGTACAACATCGCTGACCTGGCACAAACGTGGCAAAAGCCTGGCAAGGAAAGAGCTAATCACAAGAAAACTGCTTTTCATAGAGCTTTACCATACAGCAAAATAATGCACAACCGATCAGTTTACCTCAATGATCAGCGGGTTGACAGTGACTGTATTTCCTTCGAGGATATACCGGAGATAGCTGGCTTCGGGACGTGGAAAGTTGTCATTGACATCCAGGATGTTCACAATCACTTGCACAGATCGGGTTCGGCCATTGGTTATGTCTCCAAGATTATCCGTCGCTGCTACTGTCAGAACGTATCGTTTCTTGCGCTCATAGTCAATGCAGGGAGGTTTTCCTGGGGTGAGACAGTCTTTTACCGTCAAGAGTCCCGTAATCCGGTCAATTTCAAAGCTGCATTAAAAAAGAAAGAGGACGTGATAAAGACAGACCAATAATCACAAACAGGTCGCTACCTCAGAATCACAACGTTCTATCTCACATTTTTGGCTGTTTTGAGTTACTAAGTCCAGGAGTTCAGAAACCAAATGTTCTATCTGCTCTATCAAAATTGTTTAAGTATTCGGAGCCGTTATCAAAATATTCAAAGAACTGTATTAAAAAAACCAACTTGACATGTTGAGAATCTAAAAAATTTTTTCGTTAAATTTCTCAAAACTAGGTACTGAGCAGATAGAACTTTGTAATTCTGAGGTAGCAAGGTATCAGGCATTCCAATGACTTAAACTATCTGTTGACTGCCATGCTCAGGTAACGGTAATTTATAATAAAAGATAATTGTTCTATGTCCCTGGCAACACAACTGAGACAATTTAGGACGTCGGCTGCTTCAGCCCTGCTGATACCCCAGATAGAGCACTCCAAGAGACAGATAGAGACACGCAATAAAAAGAACTTCTCGTTTTGCAAATCGAACACATGTCTTCTGAGTCAATATGAAGGGTCTAGTATTTTACCACAAACAACAGTTCAAGTTACTCAGCACAGAAATGGGAGGTCTTGAAAAACTACTATATCCTTCCTGAACTTAAAAACTACAAAACTGTTGTCATCTTGAAACTAATCATTCTCCCAATCTGTCTCCTGAAGAAACTTCACCACATCATAAAAATGTAAATGTACAGGTGTAGGGTTCCTTTCAACACGGAAAAGTTGGGTCATAATTTGAGAGATAGCACTCCTGCATCTAACTTCCATCTCCGATGGGACTGAACCAAAGGAGTGAAGAGCCTTGAAAATTCCTCAAACAACCCGAGTGAACAATATTAGATAATATATATTTTTTTAAAATCACCCCCCCTCCCCTTCACATCCAAGGAAAAAAGGGCACTAGCACTTACTGTTCTGGTGTGTTTCCATACAAGGAATAGCGTATTCCAGCTTCTCCAAAGTCGCCCTCTTCTCTATCTTTGGCCTGCAAGAAGATTAGACAGTTTTCTTCGTTTTAGTAAGACTTTATGGCTCTTGCAACACAATTAGGCCATATAAGTTCAGAAGATTAGAGATGTTACAAGAGAGAAACAAACACAAAAAAGAAGGAGGACATATAAGGACAACAATGTTAAAAAAGAAAGGAGCAAATATGTCAATAAAAGAGAAACCAGTAAAAACAAAGTCGAAAACAGTGCATATGGGGCTTAAGATAGGCATCCTTTAGAAACTGCAGCTACAACATACCATCATCATAATCGACACACTTGATTATCTGCAGAGGGTATATATACAGGTTTGACTGAATATTTAAGTGACCCAGGAGAGGGGTTTTGCACTGTATGCTAATATATCTATGTTGCACTGTTTTGTATCAGCATAATGTCAATTTCTCTTGAATCAATAAACCTCTTTCTGAACTTTCCATTATCATTTCTTCTTTCTTTAACCCTATCCGTACGTCGTGTTTTACAATCGCATCCATACGACGTGGGGAACTCTGTGCCACCACTTTCCAAAGAGGAAATTTACTCACTAATTCGATCTGTACACTTTGCATAGCAGTCTGTCAAAATGATTTTTTGAGAAATACTGAAAGTTTCAAGGAGATCTCCGTACTTGAAGTATTCTAAAATGTGAAGAATACAACCCCGGGGGTACAAAATGACCCCAGGGCGTACGGATAGGGTTAAGAGGGGGAAAGGTGTGAAAATTATTTCAGAAGGTGCAATAAGAGCTTTATTAATTCAAGAGAAATTGGCATTATGCTAACACCAAACAGATATAAATGTAAATTTGCCCAGCTATACCGTTACTGAATTGGCCGCCAGATCAGGCACACACTACACACAGAGCACGGCACCCACTAGGTGACAGCTTGACAATCTCTTCCCCACAAACATCTCTATGAGTTCAGCCTGTTTCTAGCAATTGTAGCATGCCAATTTGCCTCAAGTTCAAGCTGATTATGAAAATGCTATTATTTTTTAACTTTGTTCAATATTTTTACAAAATTGGAATAAAAGTTACTTGGAGGAACTTCAAAGTAATTGCGCCACCTCTGCCGGTATGCAAAATATCAGGCGTTGCCAGATATCAGCTTGATGACCAAAAGGCTGGTGAGTGCCTATCATCATCATTATCATCATTGCCTTTCTCACCCTGCACCAGGTATAGGCCACGGACAAACACTTTCCATCTTTCTCTATCCTGGGCTAGCCTCTTGCTTGACGTTATTCCATGTCTTCCCACTTTTCTGTACACCACTTTCTGTGATTCTGGGTGCCTGTGAGGCTTTTACATTGTGAGGACTCATGCTTAAGTCTATATAAAAGGTCTGAGGCAGCCCAAGGACTGAACAGTAACAGGTAAAAAAACCTGTATAGTCTACAGGGTCCTCGACACATTTAGCCGAGCTTCTGTCCGACAGAAATTTCCAATTTGAATTAACATAAAGTTCAGCTGGATCTTTTCCTATAATCGGGTGCTACTGATTTTTCTCCTGTGCATGACAATCCCACAGGACAGATCAAGATGAGTCAAGATTGGTCACACTTTGTCTATAGTCTCTACTAATCTTCCACTAGTCAAGATGGCACTTGGTGCTATCCCATTACACTTCCGGCCCCTCAGTACTGCCAATTTCATGCTCCACCTAAGGAAAGTGCTAAAACAGGATTTGACTGTAGGGCCTATTAACATACAGAATGAAGACACAACCCCCCCCCCAACCCCCATCCAAATAAAGTTCATAATCATAAGGAAGCAAAGCGCTCTTACATTTAGGTCAATGACAGAAGTTCCTCCTCTTGCATCCTCAAACACAGAGACAGTGTAACTGTCCTTATCAAACTTGGGGTCTTCATCATTGACATCACGCACTTTGATGATCACTGTTGCACTTCCAGTTAAGGCAGGAATTGTCTTGTACTCCTTGGCTGTCACCTGTTGAGGAAAATGATTAGGAAAACATGGATAACACGAACAGAACAGAAAATATTTTTTAAACAAAAAGGAGAAAAGAAGTGTTTCAGAGGAAAAAGACCAGTTCGCTGCTACCATGTCTTTTTCTATAACTCTGACAGTTTCTTTAGAAAAAGGGTAAGATGTAAATGCCAAGCAATATACAGACATATGTACCTTTTGCTCCTACATTTTTCATCCATGATTTGTGAATCACAAGACAAAAATAGTTCCAGGAGTAGATCATTAAGATGTCATGAAATTAATGTGCTGTAGAAAGGAAATGAAAGCAAGAGAGAAAACCGGAAACATTTTCCATTTTAACTTTCTGTTTATATTGAATATGAGTCATCACAAAATGAAAACAAAATGGAAATTGAGCACTACCTGAAATGATTTTGAAGCCCCCCCCCCAAAAACAAACAAACAAGAAAACCCCCAAAACCCCAAACAAAACAAACAAACCCCAAAACCATGCTTTTTACACAGAAGCATACTACTTGGATGTAGGATACGCAGTAAAAATTCTTTAATATTTTTTAAGCATGCAGTAAGCACATAGTACATAATAGTACAACAGACTCATGAAACAAAATGATTTGTTAAAATTAACGTCTTGCTCTTATGAAATTAACACAAACGCATGATATTGATACCAATATGACATTTCACTAGTTATGGATTTCTCTTTCGCCTACATTTTTGCACTGGAAGCACAGGCACAGGAAAAGCAGACAGGAAAAAGATGTGACATGTCCTTCTAAAAGTGGGCATACTTACCAAAATCCGATATTCTCTTTGGCCAGATTCATAATCTATCTTTTCTGGATCTGCTACATAAAGCGTTGGGCTAGAGGAAGCTGCATCTTCAGTTGGAATCACTTGGAATATGTCTGTATAGTTGTCTGTTGCCAGTCTAAAGCTGTTGTAAATGTCCTAGAAAGGAATACACAAATTTAGTATACAGTGATATGTGAAATGAAAACAAGCAAAATAGTTAAACATTCTTAACACTTTGCGTGCATTAAACACTGGACTATAGGGTTATTAAAAAAAAACTAAATCACAAAAAAGTGCAATGAAAGGACACAGTCTCAAGTCCGCTATGCCACTTGTGCATTTCATATTTGCTTGTGGAATCACCTTGAGAGTTTTGTAGCTTTACTTAAGAGGCAGAAGATTCAAATACTGGCAAGTAGCAGACTACATCAAGCAAAAATAAACCTATGGATAGATTTGATCTCTAAGGGGAGACGCTATACACAAGGTTTCCAAGTCTCCTGTACCAACGTCTTTGATTTTACATCCACACGGCGTCACTTTTCGCCAAATTCTGTTACTTTTAGTTAGCGTGACTCAGCAGCCCGCCGGAGCTCTCCGGCTCGGGGTCACGGGGCTAATGAACCCTGAAGCGACTTTGCCGGTGTCGGTTAAGAAGTTCGCATTTTTGTCTACGTTTGAAATGCTATAACTTCTTCCCTATCCTACACAGCAAACCATTAAACTGATGTACTAAAAGCTCAATGTTTTGAGATCTATTTTGCGTTAGAATGGTTAATTTCTGTGACTTAGTTTCTGTTCTAGACAAGTGTTAGTACAGTACCCAATTTGTCTTATTTTGGTTACAAACCTATGAATAAATTATTGTTTATTTAAAAATGGCACGACAGATCTCTCCAAATTATGTGTTAAACTGACTACGAATATCATATCTTTTACCACAAGAAATCTTAAATCTGCGCAAGTAGTAATAGTCAAGTTATAAGAGAAGAAAGATGCACATCTTCATTTCTTAACTAAAGACACTCAGCGTTAGCTCTTGTTTTACCATTAAACAAGAGAAAGTTACTCTGCGTTTGTTCATGAATCATGACGTATCTGAGGCCGCCTGCATACAACTACGATGTTTTAAAAGCACAAAACCGTGTAAATACATGGGTAAAGATAAACTACTTGTATGGAATTAAAATAAAGACAGCTAACATATTCATTATTAGTTTTTGTGTAGGAAATATGCTCGGACACTTATGAATGTAAAGAAATTAGAATATGGTCAGTTATTAAGGAAATGGTCACAGAAACGAAAATAAAAGTTGGAAAAGTCTGGTGGTGATTCAGTGTCACTGGAAAGCTAGAAATTATTCTTATAACCCAATTATGAGAAGTCACCCCTGTTATTCAGTCAACTTTCAAAACCTAGACGTAGCGGTTTTTTTTTTAAAGTAAGGAATTTCTGGAGTCTAACACTAACAGACACTGTTCGCGTATTGCGTCATAGATGTATTCTGGCACTTAAATCGATTTGTATTACTTCATATAGAGACTGCAGGGTAATTTTGATAAACTTTCGAGAAAATATGCGAATATTCACGATTATATTAGACACATAAAGTTGTATTTGGAGGAATTACTTCATTACAAATTGTGTGCCAGATGGACAAAGTTGCAAAATTACACCTTTCTATTATATGCCCAGATACCATCTTTTCTGAGTATCTACACCAATGTTATGTCGTTCATGGTCCAAAAATTCGACAGCTTTTGTAGTGCCGTTTTTTTAATATTGATTTTTTTTTTTCATTCACAGTTGTCTAAAAAAATTTACAATTGTGTCATGACGCGGTGGAATCAGGCGCTCGTCAATTTTTGGGCATGTGGAGGTATTGGTATCATCTTAAAGCTTGTTCATTTTTCTTGCTTTCAGTGAAAAAATTAACCGTCTGTCTTTAATAGAAGTCGAGCTATTTGCGATTGAAGGATGTGGGGATCGCCTGGTTTCAGAGAGAAAATGGCCGCCAAAGTTTGGTGAATTCCATAGCTGGAGAGCCCTGGGAAACTAAATTTTTTTATTTTTTGCACCTCTGATCAACGTTTTTCCGCAAAAATCCACACAGAAATGTGTTTTTAAATGGACAGAAAAGAGATTTAGCCAAAAAGCAAAAATTTGATAAAAATTGCCAAAACGACGGAAAATCGCCTGTTTCTTCAATGTCATTATTTTGACGAGCGCCTGATTTCACCACGCAGCCTCACAATTTAGCATTGCCGACTTCAGCGCCTCTAAAGAAATAACCAGACAAGTTACAAAGCCCGTCCGTTCTTTTTTGAGCCTCAAGAGCAGAAAAGCGTGCTTTGGGTGCATTAAATAATAATTACCATAAACACAAGGATACACCTAAATCTGTACGTTAAAAAGTACCAAAAATTAAGTCAGGCCAGACAGGGTGGCGACAGGGAGCTGACCCCCATGACCCCGACGTGATAAGGCGCTTGGCGGGGAATCCCCCGCTGCAACTAAAATTCCACAGGCGGTGCGCCGTGTTCAGAACTGCAATGATCGAGTTGTGCATCATTCTACATTGTCCAATAGCTGATCAGAAAAAATTCCTTTAAAAAACTATTTTTGATGTAAAAATTTTGGGAGATGCGTGTAATGACTATTTATACCAAGAAAAATGAGAGCTGAACTTGGTAGAAATCTGTCCAAGCAGAATCTCCCAGCATTTTAAGTTAAAACATCTACAACATTGCTGGATTCATGAGAAAGCTAATCTTAATCACTGAAAAAAAAAAGATAACATCATAAAGGAAAGTCAATGTGAAACCTGAGTTAGACAACACTTTGAAGAGTGCAGGAAATAGCTGCAGGAAATAGCTACAGAAAATAAACAGGAATTCTCCCATTGCTATATTGGACCTCACGCAAAGGTGATCTATATGTATTCTCACATTCTGCCTCCTCCCGTAAAAAGAAAATCTATTGTATTCCAATTTCACATGGTTATCTCTTTGTGGTTGAAATGTCACTCATTGATCAGTGAAAAGTGCACCTTTCAAGAGATATTCAGCTGATAAAGAGATGGGATATCATATCCTCAATTCTGATCTAGAAGAGGACTGTGATGAGACCTGTATGGTTTGTGGCAGCAAAGAAGTGACAGTGAACTGGAAAATGAAAATGCGAGATCAGCACATTCACCGGCGGGGGAAAACGAGGGAGACTGTTACTTTCCATACTGTTCTTAGCGGCATTTGGTGATCTAGTGGTAAGACTTCTGGACTCGTAAAAATGGGGTTGTGAGTTCAGGGGTCCGGGCCTCAGGACCGACATTGTTTTCTTGGGAAAGGCACTTTACCAGAATTTTCCTCACTCCACCCAAGTGGGAATGGGTACCCGGCCATAGACAGCAAAAAATTTTGTTAGTATGTTGGTATTTTAGTGCCTATAAAATGGCAGCTTACACTGTATGCTTCCCAGGAAGTTGAGATTGTTTCAGAATGCTATCAGGTCTGCTGTGGTAAAAATGTAGATTGTAAAGTGCATAGAGCTTGCTGTTGAGCAGGAATTTGTGCAATACAAATGCTATCTTTTTTTTAGCATTCATATCAATCTGGCTAAGAAACAACGAGTTTGAATTTACTTTGTGCGACAATTCATTTAAAAAAAAAGTAAACAAAACTAGCGTAACACTTTTCGTTCTAAAATTATTTTCCTGAGTATACCCAATTACATGTAACCATCACAAAACTTCCCGGAATGTGAGAGAAGGTCACCAGTGAGGAACAGAATTTAAAATGGACTTTGAAATTGAGGCAGGCAAAAAGGACAAAGCAAACAGGTATAGCTTTGTGGTAAAGGAGAAAACAATGTCAAAATCAGCATAGTCATTTAAAGCACTATGACTCTAACAGCTTTTTCCACAAACCGTTAGTGCTTACAGTCAAATCAACATCTGTTCAAGTATAACTCACAGAGGAGAGGACAGTGTTCTATCAGAAAGTTGAAGCAACAAGGTCCAGTACGTTTTCAGTCAGCAAAAATATTGATGATATAATAATGATTATTGATCCGTTTTTTTCCGTCTCATTATCAGCACAATTTAATCTGCTATACCTCAAGGCCTACCCTTTTTTTTTGGTCCCGAGTCCTGATTTTGGTGCCGATATTTGTAGGTTACATAAAAATGTATTGACATGGTGCAAATTGTTATGTTTCAAGAAAAAAAAGAAATAAGAAAAACACAACAAGAAAAAGGGGAATTGTCGAGTCGATGATGATTATGAAGATGATGATGATGGTGATAATGATGATGATGATGATGATGATGATGATGATGATGATTATGATGATGAGATGATGATGATGATGATGTTTTCAAAGCCTACCTTATTACCAAATAAAATAAAGTATTCTGCATTTCTTAAATTTTCATGTAGGCCTAATCAGTTTCATTTCTTGAAAGAAAATATTATCAAATTCAATGTCTTCACATTTCAATCATGACATTTATGATATTATCCATTGTTTTCAGTTTCAGATGATCGCAGTAATACTTACAGTTTGATCAGCATCTGTCACAGTCATCTGCAGACCTGGAATGTTCTGACCTCTTGCAATGTTCTCATTGATCTCAATGTTGTATACATTCTTGTCGAATTTTGGTGCGTTGTCGTTGATGTCCTTCATAGTGATCCTGATTTTTACAGTCGCAGTGGTCAGTGGATCATTGCCAAGTGCTGTTGTGCCATCAGGATTCGTTATCACCTCTCTTGCCTATTAATAATGCAAAAGCGCACCATGAAATCATAGGACACATTTTTTAAGAATATGGAACTACAAACTTTTTGAAGTAATGCTAAATAAGACAAATTAATTAGTTCGAACAGTAAAAATCAATATGACTGAACAAACATTCAATGAGTAAGAAACTTTCAAATAAACATTTTCATAATAACAAAAGTACATTACAGACAGGAATCTTTTGACATACTGTTTATGAGCCACAAAAAGGACAAAGCAAACAGGTATAGCTTTGTGGTAAAGGAGAAAACAATGTCAAAATCAGCTTAGCCATTTAAAGCACTATGACTCTAACAGCTTCTTCCACAAACCGTTAGTGCTTACAGTCAAATCAACATCTGTTCAAGTATAACTCTCTCCTTTTCAAAAATTGTTTATAATCAAGACGGAGACCAACTTTCCGTATTAATCTGCCATATCCTTAAATAGCAAAGGCTTGCAAACAAAATGATCCACTCTGACACAAAAATTGCCATTTCTCATGTTTGAACCAGTCGTTCGTCATGAAATCTCGAGTTGATTCGCGTGTGGTTGGTAGAGGCTCTAGTGTGGTGCTTTTCTTATCAAGCATCTATTATTTTTATCTCCCCTCCTTTTTATGTTAATCTGGGGTAGTAACATCTCTCATCTTCAGCACTTATATGACCTATTTGAGTTGCAAGTGCCGTAAAACTCTTACTATAAAAATAAACTAAAGTTGATTTTACAGAGTCCTGACAGTGATATCAATGTATTCCTTTACCCTGATGGTTACATCCCATGGTCTGTTCTTCCTGCTGCCTTGTGCATCGAAGTCAGGTGCAATAATGTTTGAAATTTCACCACTTGTGGAATTGATCGTGAAAACATCCATATGATCTGAAAATGACAAAAACCCAATCAAATTCAAGATTCATTATTGCAACGGCAAAAACGACCATAAATCAAACACAATAACAGAAATTTAGTGCAAGTAGAAACCAAACAGAGGGAAAGAACAAGTCGCATCCAACAACAACTCGTTCTAAAAATGAACTCATTGTGTTTCATCTTCTCATCAAGCACATTGTTACTCATTGTAAGAAAATCTGAAGCTTCTAAGGGAGTTTCATTTTTTGTGGTGACCATGATATAACATAGTTATCTGAAAGCTTTACAGATTTAAAAAACAATTTGACTAGAACCTGTTTTCACTCCTGTACGACATAAAAGACACATATCTGAAAAAAAGAGATGTGTACAAATTTAAGGAAAAAATTTATCGATTCTTACACATAACAGCTGAGCTGCAAATAGACTAAATAAAAGAACAAAGCATTTTTATCAGCACAAACTGTACATACTGCACTGAAACAAAGAAAGCGGGAGTTACATTACAACAAAGTATGAAAGCTTTCTCATTTTCTTAACACATGAATTTTAATTTTGAATCCTGCAATTTTTTAATGTTAAAAATTTTCTTTGTTGCTAATAGAGCTGGATCCTGCTCGCCAAATCTGAGAGTGGTGATTCGCGATTCAGTCGGCTTCAAAGAATCGCGAGTACGCGAGCGCTCGAGGAACTGCGGCGGAACACTGACTGAAACGGAACAGTGTCACATCAACGCCACTTGGTGAGGGCGATTCCCACTCTTGTTGTCCAGCCATCCCCCCACCCTTTGTTGAGCTGCTCTATCTACTGACCTCAATTAGCGACCCAATAAATTCACCCCCCCACCCCATGATTCGCTAAAACAATGGCTCCATAAAATTCCTTCTGTCCATTGGTTGGAACCCGTTCATTTTGTTTTAATATGGGGGTTGGACTATACCATCTTTTGTAAAATAAGGGGAGCCATACTAAGTGTTCCGTTCCATTCTTGCGCTCGCGACTCGACTCAGCAGTAGGTTACAAAAACATAAATAAGCTGTAAGGCGGTGACAGCGACAGGGGAGTGAATCGGGAATCGGAAGGCGATACTGTTGCGCGTTCCGCTGAAGTGAATTGCGAAACGCGTTCCACGGGCAAGAGTGGCGATTCAGTTCCGTTCTCGCGCCCCAGCTCTAGTTGCTAAGGTATTTACTTTTCCGATCCAGCGGCCATCTGAGTTCTGATCCTTCGGCCTGTGCTAAGATATTTAAGTATTTTTCTCCAGCACTTAAGAAAGCTTATCGTTTAACTTCTGATTAAAAAAAAAACCCCACTAACAGACAACAAACAATTTTTCAGCTTACGGGTGGTGCAAAAAAATAAATATATAAACATAATTACACTGATTCATCAATGAAAAGACATCTTACTTCCTGCCTTTCATCTTGATTCTCTTTCGCTAACTAATTCATCTTCAGCTGCTCCAAATTGCACTAAATCATTTAATAAAGAGTTCATTAAAATGTGTATTTGTCAATGACAAAAATAGATTCCCCCCCCACCCCAATACTATCAAAGCCAACAGTCCAGTAGTCACATGTTGTGCCATGTGAACTCTACACATACCTCCAAAAAGCTCATAGACGATAGGCCGTGGTGCGCCAACATCTGGGTCAGAGGCAGTGACAGTTTGAATGACAGTTCCCTGAGGACCAAATATTTTAATACAATCACACACTAAAATCAACTCAAAACACTAACAAAACATATTTGAAATATTCAGCTATAATAAAGTATTTTCATGAGTAAAGTGTATGGTTTCTTCTCTTTCCTGCTAGATCTTTGGTTCCTCAAAACATATTGCTATTAATTTTCAGTGTACATGGCTTATTTTCCTACTCAACATGGTGTCTGTTTGTCATGTTCTTCAGAGGGTACACTGAGAGTAATTAGAGACTCCGACATTCTTGTCCTGAGCAATGGCAGCATCTGTTCATCACCACTCCACGTACGGGGAACCAATGCTTATATACCATTGCCACTACACAGTGTATGAACAGTGACTCACGCACATCTGGTGAACAATGTCCTCATGCATATGTGGTTGACAGCTGAGAGTGGGAGAAGGGGGCTAAGTTTATAAGACAGGAAGAAAGTACTTATATTCAAATGCAAAATTATGTACAATTAACATTCATTTCATAGAAATGCTGCAATATGATTCATCGTGGTGAAATCAGGTGCTTGTCAATGTAATTGAAATTGAAGAAACTGGCAGTTTTCTGCCAGTTTGGCAATATTCATCAAATTTTTTTATTTTGGCTCAACACTTTTTTGGGCTATTTAAAGACCATATTTCTTTGTGGATTTTACTGAATAAAAAGTTGATTAAAGGCACAAACATGTAAATTTTCAGTTCCCAACGACCTTTGTTGTTGTTGTTGTTATCGATCAAGCAACATCTGGGCTCTTGACCTTCTGTCCAATGCCATGTAGTGATAAGTGCAGGTTTGCTGCAGTTGCTGTAATGTTCCGTAGATTGTGTTGTCGAAGTTAGGTCTCGGAGGGAGAAGGGTAGCTCTGATGTCATTTAGGGCTGTACAGTGGAAAAGGTGATGTTCCACTGTCTCATATGCATAGTCACACGAAGGACACATTGGGGGAAGTTCTGGTTTTATTCTGTTCAAGTGAAAGTTGAGCTGTATATGTTCTGTTCGTAGGCGGAAGATCGTGGTCTGTTTCTTTCTTTGTAGGTGGTTGATATTGTCATTTCGTTTTGTTGTAGTCATATGTTTGAAAACTGTTCTGCCTGTCTTTCCCAAGGCCCATCTGTTCATCCAATCTTGTTTGCTGTTGCTTTTAATGATTTGTTTTGCAGTGTTGTATGAAGTAGGAATGTTGGGTTGTTCCTGTCTAGATCCCCTTTTGGTGAGTGTGTCTGCTCTGTCATTTCCAGGTATGTTTGAGTGTCCGGGAATCCACTGCATTACCAGGTTGATGCCACAGAATGTTATCAGATGATGGGAGCCAAACAGTATATGTGTCAAGTCTTCGTTTAGATGGTGATCATTTTCTATAGCTTGCAAGACTGATAGTGAGTCAGTGAAGATCACTTTACTCTGTGTTTTGTTTGGATGAGTGTCAAAAACTGTGCGGAGATAGTATAGTGCTGTTTCAATTGCTATCATTTCTGCGTCGTAGTTGTTGCATTTCTCTCCACAGGCTGCAGAGATCTCATTGGAACTTCCATCTGGGTATTGTATTAGTATTCCATATCCGGCTTTGGTTGTGCCTTTGAAGGCTGAGCCGTCTGTATAGACGTGTATCCAGTCATCTGAATAGCTGTCGATTGTTTGATGTGATGCAAGCATCAACTTCACTGGGTCTGAAGATTTTGTGCTATTGTCTCTGAGAGAAGTTTTAATGATTGGTTTTTCCATAGAAATGTGGGGAGGGATGTTTTGGTTGACTCTTTTGGTTTCTCTTCTGTTTTGTGGTAGATGGTGGCTCTCCATTAGTTCTGTGATGAGATGCATGACTGATTTTTGTTGAAGTCGTTTCTTTGGTTTCTATGTTTCTACTAATTTCCTGTTTCGGTGGTTGGGGCACATTTTTTTTGTTCTTTCATGAAGCTCCAAAACTGCTTAATCTCTGCGTATTCCCAGGGGTTCAACATTTGATAGAATTTCACATGCGGCAGTAGGTGTAGATCTCATGCCACCATTTATGAAACGAAGGGCATTATTTTGGACCTTGTCAAGGGTGTTACAAGTAGTTGCACTACATATAGTGAGTAGGCTATTGCTGTATTCCAGGGAAGATCGGACATAACTAAGGTATAAAGCTCTCAGAGTTTGTTTGTCTGATCCCCATGAACTGCTTGCGAGTTTCTTTAAAAGTTGGAGTCTTCTTTTCGCCTTGTTCTTTATGCTCTCCACTTGGCTTTTCTTTGTTAGACTTTGGTCAAGTTTGACTCCTAAATACGTTGGGGAGATTTTCATTTCCTATCTTCAGTAGGAGTTTTTCTTTGGCTGTTTTATGGCTCTTTGTAAAGATGGTGTATACTGTTTTCGAGCAGTTTATTTTGAGCTTCCATTTCTGACAGTAATTGTGGAGCCTCTTGAGGTCTTCATTTAATTTTCCTGCTCCTACTACCGTGCTGTGATGTGTCTGCCAGAGAGCAAGATCATCAGCGTAGAGAGTCTTTTCTGATTTCAGCACGTTCGTCACATCATTAAAGAAGATCAGGAACAAAGTGCAACTCAGACAGGAACCTTGGGGTAGGCCCTCCTCGAGTACTTCTCTTGACGAGTGGGCATTGTTCACCTTTGTTTCGATGTTTCGATCCGCTAGAAAAAACTTGATCCATTTATAAAGTTTCCTGTGTATCCCGAGGTCCATCATTTTCATGAGTAGGCCTTTTCTCCACACTCTGTCATACGCCTGTTGGAGATCTACAAAGATGGCAACAGTGTGTTTAGTCTCCTGGAAACCATCCTGGATGTCTTGACTTAGTTTGAAAAGTTGGTCTTCTGTGTTGCTGCCTTTTCTAAAGCCTGCTTGGTGTGGGTTCAAGCTGTTGGAGTTTTCCAGGTACCAGTAAAGGCGGTTGTTCACCATTCTTTCGGCAAGCTTACCGATACATGATGTTAGTGATATAGGTCGGTAGCTCTTCGCTTCTCCAGGTGGTTTCCCCTTCTTTAGGAGCGGTATGATCTGGGCGATCCTCCACGCCTTTGGTATTCCGCTCGTTCTCCACGTGGTATTTACTAAGCGGCATATGACATCTTTTCCTTTATCACCAAGGTTGCACAGCATTTCGTTGTGTATTTTGTCAGGTCCTGGGGCTTTCTTTTGCTTTAATTTTTTGAGGGTCTGTCCAAGTTCCATCATGCTGAAATCCTCCTCAAAAAGGGCGTTGTTCACGGTAGGGGCTTTTTCTTCATGCTTAGCCTTGTTTATGAGGAGTCTATCGGCCTCAGTTAGTCTACTTGCCCTGTTTACAGAGGCGAAATACCGGTTAAAATGTTCAGCTTTCTTCTGGTCTTCTGCGATGGTGTTGCCTGAAAGGAAAATTGGTTTGGGGTTGCTTTTTTGTCTTTCTCCCGAGAGGTTGCTGACAAGGGACCAAGCCTTTGTTCCATTGTGGCGAAGGTCAAGATCTTCCCAAGTCTGGGTCCATTTTTCATTTTTGGCTTTTTTTTCTGTCATTTTCACCTGAGCGCAGGTCTTGCTATAGTGTGTTCTGGCTATTGGTGATGGTGAGTTTTCCAGTAACTGTCTGGCCTTCTCTCTTTCTGCCACGGCAGCCTGGATTTCTTCATTCCAAAAGGGTTTGTAATTTCTTCGGCATCCCCGTGGAATGTGCGGAGATGCAGCTTTAAGAATATTTTTAGTGACTTGTTCATTAAAAAGATCAGCATCATCTGTTTCTACTATGTTAGAGAGCAATTTGTCTGAGGTCTTTTTGTATTCTGCCCAGTTGGCTTTCTTAAAGTTCCGTCGAGTTCTCCGAGGGTGGTTCAAGGCAGGTGGGGAGGTGATCTGTGTAAAGATAGGTCTGTGGTCACTTCCTATGTCATCAATCACTTCGATGCGACAGGCGTTTTTGATGTCAGATGAGCAGATGGTGAGATCAGGCCGGCTGAGAGTCAAGTGGGCTCTGTGAAGTAGGGTAGGAGTGGAGTTAGCATTTTGCAACACAGAGAGGTTGCTGGTTTCACAAAGCTCTTCGATCTTTCGGCCTGTGCTGTTGTAGCTGGTGTAGCCCCATTCAGGGGAGTGGCCATTGAAGTCACCCGCACAAATGGTTTTTCCGTAGTTAGTTGCTTGTAGATCAGACAAATCGCATGTTGTCTGTGGAGGGCTGTAAACATTGTAAATTGTAAACTTCCTACCAATGTGCCATATGGTGGCCTTCTGGGTATCAGTTGGTTGGGCAGACGACAAATGTACGAAATCTCCCTGAATATCGTTCCGCAGGTAAGTGACTACACCGTGGCATCCTGTGCATGTGCAGGCATAACTGGTGTATCCTGTGAGGTTCAGGTCCGTACCCTTGTGTAGGGTTTCTTGAAGGAGGGCAACATGAATCTGCCTGTCCTTCAGTACTTTGAGGAGTTCTGTCTTGTTCCTCAAACCACAGATGTTGAGTTGCAAGAGGTTGAGGGAACTCTTCTTCTGGTTGGGGATGAAATTGGCTCTCTTCTCCCGCCGAGAGCTTTTCCGTGCTGGTTTAGCACTGTTTCTGTGCCCAACGACCTTTAAGCTATGGAATTTACCAACTTTGTTGGCCATTTTCTCACTTATCTTACCTCTGAAACCAGGCAACTCCAACCTCCTTTAACGCAAATAGCTCGGCCTCTATTCAAGTCAGATGGGTATTTTTAAAATCAAAAGCAAGGCAAATGAACAAGCTTGAAGATGATACAAGTAGCTCCACATGCCCAAAAATTGACGAGTGCCTGATTCCACCATGTCATGACACAAATATTGAAACACAAGAACAATTCAAAATCAATACTAAAATAACAAAATCCAAATATTGCACGGATCTATCACTGCGTCTTTAAATAGTATCATGACGTTAAAATAAAATAATTCAGCCATCACACAGATTATAACTCAAACACTAGCTGGAAAGCTGGCAGGGGGTCATTCTTCAAATCATTGCCGACTGTATCTTTCCTAAACTAAACTTCTGTCTCTTCAAACATAAATGACATTCTTATGGCGCTCAACCCTGATTAAAGCACACCGGTTCTGAGCGCTTTACAATATAATACAACAGCTAGTTGCAACACAAAACAAAAGAAAATCTCTCTAAATGTCCTTCTTCTGTAAAGGGGGAAAAAAAGATGTAATACATATTTGTGTCACGACGCCATGGAATCAGGCGCTCGTCAATTTTTGGTCATGTGGAGTCGATAGTATTGCCTTAAAGCTTGTTCATTTGCCTTGCTTTAGATTTTAAAATTATCTGTTTATCTTGAGTACATGTCGAGATATTTGCAATTGAATGAGATGGGGTCGCCTGGTTTCAGAGGTAAAATTAGTGAGAAAATGGCCGCCAAAGTTTGGTTATTTACAAAGCCTCAGAGTCTGTGGAAAGTGACAATTTACATTTTTTATGCCTTTAACCAACGTTTTTCAATATAATTCCCACTGAAATGAGTTCTTAAATAGACATTTTGACGAGCGCCTGATTTCACCATGCTGCCTCACATTTCATCAAACTCCCCCACCCAACCCCATCTATCTCCGAATCCCAAGTATAATGTTCCTGGATGGCTTATGTCCTTTATAAAAGATGGAGAAGTTCATGGCGTGAACGGAATTTCTCAATGCTTACCTTAGAAATCTCTTCATCAATGATCTTTGGGCCTGTTTTCTGCCATTGTGGTGGAGAGTCATTCACATCCTTGACTTCAATGTGGACCTCGTCGGTAACTTCATGTATTCCATCCTGTTCAGGAAAGACAAAGCAAAATCAAAATGAATGATGGAATGTTAAATTTGTCGTAAGAAGAATTAATGTTCAGGTCAACGGGAAGTAATAATAATAATAATAATAATAATGAAGATCATTTCTATAGCGCCCATTCCCGTGTAAACACAGCTCTAGGCACTTTACATAAATGCATGTAAGAACAATATTCCCGCACGTGACACACACACACACACAAATACACACACTCATACACACACAAACACATACACATAATACATACACACACACACAAACACACATATACACACTCACGAACACATAACACGCAACACATGTACGCCAAACACACACACACACACACACACACACACACACACACACACACACACACACACACGCACACACACGCACGCACACACACGCACATCTATTTGCTTATCACACGCACACGCTTACACATCCTCACGAAATGAGCATAAAATAATATACACACTGCAATTCACAAAATACATAAATGGAAACACAGTCATTAAAACATTGTATTGAACATGAATCTAATGACATAAAAAGAATGTCATTAAATGTGTCTTTAAAGATTTTTTAAAGTTAGACTCAGATGTTGTATGTCTCAAGGGTTGGGGAAGAGAGTTCCAAATTGACGGAGCAAGGTGGGTGAACGATCTTTCAGCTAATTTTTTACCCCCTTTTCTAGGAACTCTTAAAATATACTGATCGCCTGATCTTAGTGATCTAGATGGAACATAAATCTGGATGAGATCACTAAGATATGAGGGAGCTTTGTTATTGACACATTTATGACATAATATTGCAATTTTATATGACATTCTAGCTGACACGGGAAGCCAATGCAACGTTCTTAACATGGGAGTAATGTGGTCCCTCTTCTTTTTCTTTAGTACAAGCCTAGCAGCATGATTTTGAAAACGTTGTAACTTGTGAAGAGTGGTATTTGGTAAGTTAGCTAGTAAAGCATTGCAATAATTGATGCGTGAAAACAAGAAAGATGACACGAGCGTTTTCAACGAGTGTTCATTCAAAAACATAGACATAATAATGACCAATTCTACGCAATTCACAAAATAAAATGGTACATAAATAATTGATATGATGTTCCATTGACAATTTTGAATTAAAATACACTCCCAGATTTTTTGCTTTATTAGTAAAATACAGTTTTTCATTTTCAGTACAAATATGATCAATGTCTATGGGGCACGGCGTCCAGAATTCCGTCTCAGCGATCTTTTAGTTAGTCCGGGCCCCCCGCGGTAGGCAATAGATCACCGGCAGGTGACCTGCAATTTCACGCGTCAGGTGGGGGATTGACCGGGGTCAACTCGTGCACAGCGCTGTCCTATCTTGTCCTTATCAGAACGCGTTTCTTCCCCTAATTTCATGAACCGTAAAATGATGCTCACACTACCCCTAGAATCTATTTCTTCACCAATTTCGCTTCGTCTACGTCTTCTTGGTATCTTGTGAAAGTTTCAACAGTTTTCATTTATTCGTTTGGGAATAATAACAGTTTTAAATTGTGAGTGTTAAGTGATCGGAAGTGCCGTTAATAATATGATTTCTTCAAATTTAATTACAAATCATTCCAAAATGAAACCTTGGAGTTTTTTTCTGTTTGCGCGGTGTGGTAGCCATTAAATCATATTTTCTAATGATGTGAATTTTGTTTTTCCAGTACTTTGCAGTGACTGGAAATCAGTTAGCGAATTGTGTTCCTTAGTAAAAATGGTTAAACTGCAATGGGTCGGTCATACATATGAGAGGCATAGAGAGTCTCTGAATGAACTTTGTCGGGTGTGTTGGCGTTTAAATTTAACTGTCAAACAAAACAGTACACAAAACCCCGATTTTGTAAGACAATGTCAGGAGATATTCTCTTGATTTACGGGATTGACGTGAGGGACGAAGATGAACAGTTGTATTCCGCTAACATTTGTGTCAAGTATTTTACCGCGATTTCAAATATCAAAAGGAAATATGGTGTTACGTCACGTCAATTCATGTCGCAAAAAAGCTGTAGACGCTAGTAGGAACATGTGGTGTGCGTTTGACAATAACATAAATGTGAATTCCTGCTCCGTTTGTCGGCATCGCTTTGGGTGGCTGCATACAAAGATCCATTTCAAGCAAACATCGCAACACACCCCAAGCATACCTCCATCCCCATGTATACAAGGAACTAACAAACACAATTTGTACAGAAACTGCAAAAATACTCCCGCGAAACTGCAAAAATTGAGGAAGCAAGTGGACTGGAAGCAATATTCAATCTTCTCAATGAAAGATTTAGCCATGTTCACACTGCAATATCACATCTCAAACCAGTCAAACAATTTTCACTTCCAGAAATCCTCGTAGCAATCGACAATTACATGGCCGCATTCAGACGCTGTTTCCTCGCAAAGTTATCCCAAAGCAACACATATTAAACAAACAATGTATTCCACACATACAACAACACATGTTTGCTCTCGGACTTTTGGGAGAACAGGACACAGAAAGCGATCTCAAAACTGGAAGCCAGAGCACGAAGGATCCCAAGCCAGATAGACATAATGCATTTTATTTTTGTGTCGTATCTCCTGCAAATAGCACCCTCATTGCGTGCTGCTGGATATGTTTAGAAAGAAAAATTGTATTTATACTTTTATTCTGTACATGTTCATTTTGAGAAAAGAAATCGGTGCTGTATATTGAAGATATGTCAGTATATCATTATTTAGGAGGATACACATTCCATTGGATACAAAAAGTCATGAATGCAGGGAAGCGTTTTGGCTATCATGCTAAAGACAAGTTCCATGTTCGTGCTGGAAACAAAATTTTGAGAGAGTCAATTTCTAAACACATTTTCCTGTTATACGTAGCAGTTTTGTAAATATTTAACGTTAGGCTTATAAGTTATTAGCCACTCAATATGTGTTTGTTGTTTTGACTAACTATAAATAGACATACATTTTAAGAGCATCTAACTCCAAAACGTGAGCAGCCATGGTATTGCTATTTCGTACCAATAAAGAAGTTTAGTTGCTTTCTCTAAAGAACAAACTTGTATTCACGTATGATATTTTTTGTTTGTGTTAGACAATAAAACATGTGTTGAAAAATTCATTTCACCGGCTACCGACACAGGTAGCAGGAGGTCGGGTGGGTGACCTCTGGGTGACCGGCCCGCCGTGACCCGGTCACTCCATCGCCAAGCCAACTAAAAGAGCGGTGTTTGTACGCCATGGGGGAAATGGCTTTTCTTTGGGTTACATAAAAGAATTTCAGTTTTATTTTCATTAAGCTGGAGCTTATTATCAACCATCCACTTTTTGATGTCATCAATGCACAGACCCATGCTAGTAAGCAAGGTTTTAACATTTGATGATGGAACAGATTTATATAACTGTGTATCGTCAGCGTACATGTGATAATTCATATTGTGCTTTCTAATCACAGCTCCAAGCGGCTGTGTATAACATATACAAGATTGGACCCAATACTGAACCTTGAGGCACTCCAAAGTCTAGCTTAAAAATTGACGAAAGAGAGTCTGCACAACAACAGATTGTGTACGGCCAATCAGGTAGGACCTGAACCAGTCAAGAACCCTTCCAGACAGGCCAAACGTGTTGAACAATCGTTCAATAAGAATAGTGTGATCTATAGTGTCAAAGGCAGCACTAACATCAAGAAGAGAAAGAATTGATATTTTGTTCTCATCCGTCTCACACAAGAGGTCGTTATATATTTTCAATAGCGCAGTTTCTGTGTTATGAAATCGCCGATAGGCAGATTGATAAAATTTATATAAATTATTTTCTTTTAAATGATTCTTCAATTGAACCAAAACAACTTTCTCCAAGATTTTTGATAAAAAGGGAAGGTTGGAGACAGGTCTGAAATTCTTGAGCTCCTCCGGGGAAAGATTTGATTTTTTGAGAAGGGGAATAACTAAAGCATGCTTAAAGAGTGATGGTACTACTCCAGACTGAAGAGACTCATTAATGATGGAAGTTATAAATTCAATGACACTATCAAGATGTGTTATGAGTAGTGGTGTTGGGATAGGATCAAGACTACGTGATTTATGGGGTGATGACATTATGATTGATCTAACATCTTCTTGTGTTACACGTACAAATTCATTAAAGATTACCCCAGAAAATGTTTCAAAACATGGTAGTTTATGGGTAGTCGTGTCAATTTTTTTCCTAATCGTAGATATTTTGTCTCTAAAGTATTGACCAAAAACATCAGGAAGGTCATTTTTAGGTACATTCGTGGGAGACTTGTTGCTGGCCGGATCTTTCTTACCAGACAACTGATTTATTATACAAAATAAAGCTTTAGAGGTGGTACATTCATTAATTTTTCCGTTATAATACATAAATTGGGCAGATGTTATTAACGATTTCACTATGTTGTTACAGTGTCTATAAATGTCCTCATGAATTTTCAGATTTGTTGATCTCCAGCGTCTTTCAGCTCGTCTACGTTCCATTTTAGATTGTTTAATTTCCAAAGTCATCAACGGGGCAGAAGGTCAATCAGTCACTGCTCTGGATTTGACTGGTGTATGTTTGTTTAGTAGTCCACACATCTTGAAGTTGAAAATGTCTACCTTCTCGGAGGTTGAACCATGTATGAATTTTAGAAGCTGACGAATGTCCGCTCCAAACTTTTCATGATCAATGTCCATTTTCCGGGTTGATATTATGCGGTGTCTCAGTTTGAGCTTCCCTATACGAGTTATTTTACAGGACACCACGTAGTGATCAGAAATGCATTTGTTTTTTACTTGAATTTCACCGATTTTATTGACACTGTCCATAATCACCCAATCTAATGTGTGTTTTTTAATGTGAGTGGGGACATCAATGTGTTGATAGAGACCACGAGTCTCTAGAATAGATTTGATAGATTTAACATTAGTGTCTAAGGTATCTTCAAAATGTAAATTAAAGTCCCCTAAAATTATAGGTTGTGTCTTCTTGGAGGTATGCACGTCTAGTAAATCCTGGAATTCAGTTATGAAATCTTTAATTTTCAGTTTGTTTTTCCTGTTTGGAGGTGGTCGATACACACAGACAAAAATGACGGGACACCCTTTGATATGTAGACTGATCTCACAACATTCGAACGTTTTAAAGGAGGGCATTTTCTGTGGAGTGATGTTTAGAGATTCTTTATAAATTACGCATATCCCTCCCCCTCGACCATTTCTTGGGACGGAGATGGACTTGTATCCCGGTGGAGTTAGGCCCGCTATAATGATTTCATCTCCGACGTTCCGCAACCATGACTCCGTAAAAAATGCAATATCGGAGTTGGACTCAAGTATTAAATCATTGAGTAAGACGGTCTTTTTTTAGGTTGACTGTGTGTTCAGTAGAATAATTTTAAGATTACTTGACAATTCAGTTACAGTGTTTTTGGGTCAACAGCAATTAAGTTCACGGGAGTAATGACGCTTCGAGGTTCATTTAAACTAACACACTTCTTCCCTGTGACAACAATGATTGGTCTTTGTTTTCTTCTACCTCCTCATTTCCCCCTCTTGTATTTCTTAACTTTGCTGGCTGAGTCTTTAGATCTTTCAAGGCCAAGCTGAGACAAGCAAACGGCGGTTTCATATGAAATGTCATGTGTCTTTTTGTTTACAGACAATAACTGGTCTCTAGTGTAGCACACCTTTGTAGATCCCGCACGGGGACTCACAACACACACCGGACTCACAACTTGACAGTGTTCACTTCCATTTTTCAGAAAAATGTTGGCATAGCTATTAACATTATAAACGGGGTGGGGTTGGGTGGTGAACACGGCTTTCCACACAATATTGTAAATGTTGAAAATGGCCAAAGCCAAGGATAGAACTTCCATTATAACGAAATATATTTCTTGCAAATAGTTCGTAATTTGCGATCAAGCACTAATAGAAATAACACAAACAGCACAAATGTTTCTTATCTATCCTGTAAGCCAACTTGAAAAGCCACAATCCATCCACAAGATAGGAAAAAGACACAAACATTACAGAGCAGGAAAAACGCAGCCTGTCAGGCGCGGACCACCTACAAAAGTTCTTTCTTTTTTTTTTCTTGTACTGCATCCTGATCCGGAGCTGGATATTTGTAGGTTAAGTATAAAATATGTGTCAATATGGTAGCAACTGTTGTGTTTCAAGAAAAAACAAAACAGGAAAAAGGCGAATTGTTCGGCATTTAATGATGATGACGACGATGATGATGATGATAAGATAATGACAACGATGGTGAGGATGATAATGATGATGATGGTGACAATGATGATACCGAAATGTTGAGAATGATGTGCAGGTTAATCTAGATGTTAGTTTGTTTCTTCATTTGGTGCTTACACTAGATCCCCTCCACCATGTCTTGAGGTCAACAAGATGCTAATTTGGGAACAATAATAGTGAAGTTGTTTCAAGAAATGCTACAAACTTGGTTTTTATAATACTATTTAAAAACTCCTCTTTGTAAACACAATAAGTATGTAAAAAAAAATCTGCTTACATAAGCTTTCAACTGAATCACATAAGACTTCCTCTTTTCATAATCCAGTTCTTTGACCAGATTAAGTGTTCCATTCCAGTATTTGTTACTTTGCATGACTTGAGTCAAGCTGAAGGTATTACAGGCGTCTCGAAGCTGGGGACAAAAAAAAATGTCAGATAATAAAAAACATAACCTCACATCACATATAACATGTGTCAAGCTACAGTGGAATCAGGCGCTCATCAATTTTTGGGTACATGGAATTATTGATATAATCTAAAAGCCTGTTCATTTTCCTTGTTTTTGATTTTGCAAATACCCATCTATTTTGGATCTATTGATACAATCTTAAAGCCTGTTCATCTTCCTTGTTTTTGATTTTGCAAATGCTCATCTATCTGAAAAGGAAGTTGAGACATTTGTGATTGAAGGAGATGGGGGTCATCTGGTATCAGAAGTTAAAATAATGAGAAAATGGCTGCCAAAGTTCAGTGACTTTCAAAGCTGTGATTACCCTGGAAACTATAAATTTACATTTTTGTGCCTTAAAACCAATGTTCTCCCATAAAATCCACACAAGAATGTGTTTTTGACAGGACATAAAAGGTGCCGAGGTCCCCCCACCGAAAAAAAATAATTGCCTGACGTGTGGAAAAAATGTCAGTTTCTTCGATTACAATATTTTGAGGGGGCCCTGATTTCACAATCATACAAAATATTTTGTAGCAAGAAATATGGGCAAATCCAGCAATGTTTTTTGTTTAAACCTACTTAGTAAAACAGATGGACACAATAAAGGAATCATTTCTCTAAAAGGTTGCTTTTCCTTGTCATGTCTATGCATTTTTAAAAAATCAACTTTCAAATATCACATAAAAAATTTTTCATCACTAGAACAGACACATATGAAAAAGAGGCAAAGCATTGCTGAATATTCAAATTTCCTCAAAAATGACAGTTCGTCATTTAGTTTTGAATGAAACATAAAGTAAAAAAAAAAATGAAACCATGGAAGTCTTTTGAAAAATGGTATGGAATTCACAGTCAGGCAGACGGTTCTGATGTAATTAATTTTGAAGCAAGTAGGAAAATCTGGTTGGGGAATGTTTTGGGATTCTCTGACAAGGTAAGTAGGTCTATAGGCACAGTATGATCTGTTGTAAATGGAAGGCTTCACATATAATATAATATGTTACTCTCTGTCACCATGGTAACACAAGGTGAAATCTATCATTAACAATTTTATCATATACGCAGCCAAAACTAATATTTAAAAAAAACCAAAAAACATTTTAAATACTTTTCAGGAATGCTGCCATTCAAGACCTACGGGTAAAAATAAGAAATAAAAGCATTTTAAGAAAAACATTTTAACACTTCGTAATCACACAGCCAGCAGTACAAAATATCCCATCTGGTCACCCAGCCTGGAGAGTGAATACAACAAACTTCTCAGGCCTGTCGGAGAACTGCGTCAAGTATGACCGGAAGGGATAATTTTCACTGTGGCGTTGTTGTGGCAAGTGACCGCAAAGGATTAAATTCCTGATCATTTAACACAGCAGCCCCGAGACCTGCAAGTTGTCCAAGGCTGTATGCTCAGAATATGGTGAATACTTACGGATGGTGTGTTTCCACTACATGTCACTGTTATCAGGCTGTTACTTGTGTCAAGATCAGTCACAGAGATGTCCGAGACAAAGCTTGGAGGTATTTCACCCTGATTTAAACAGGAAAAAAAAAAAAAAAAACAACCCCCACATATTATTATGCACATTTTATGCACACATCACAAGTGCAGGAAACTCAACCTGTAGGTCAAATGTCATTAGCAAAAGGTAGTGGTATAATTGTTTTCACATGCAGTTTGGTTATACACTCTGATTCTAAAATGAAATTAAGCTATTTCAGTATCTGAATTTAATACAATGAATGATGAGACAACAATGGCCATTCGTTATATAGGAAGAAACAAGCTTGGTTGAGGAACAAGAAGAAACTAGAATGGTAGCCCACAACTTTTATACTTCTAGTTGAAACAAAAATAGAAACATTAAAACATTAACGGCATGAACCAGCCCTACAACACATTGTTACTTGTAAATATTAAAGCACAAGATACAACAACATTTATAATTAATCTTCAATCTTACCTCTGAAATTTCTTTGAATAAGTTTTTGAACCTAAATTCCGGCTTCTCGTCATTCACATCATCAACAAAGATCTTGCCCTCTCTTTCCTTGAAAAACAAATATGAACAAAAAAGTTGCAAAAAAGAACAATATGTGTCATGAGTCAGCCAACAGAACTACTATACAGTTCAATACATAAACAGCTTAAGGGCTGTCATTACAACGGTTTCATTGACATGTTTCCCCGTATATCTAATTGAGAAAGTTTCTATTACTCAATAGATCTTTTTTTCTTTATTATGCATATTTTAAATACATTTAACAAATGAATATATAAAACAGTAGAAACGATAAATACAAATATTCATTGGGATTCTTGATGCATTTCATGTTTTCTAAGTTAAGTAATAATCTGACCCATACGCAACAGCCTAGCTACAAATGGCGTACTTAGTTTAATAGAACAAAGGCTTTGAAAAGTGGCCTCAAGTTTGCAGCTAAAATTTGGATTTTGTAAAAATCAAGTAAGCTCACAATCAAAATCAGAAACATGCAAATAGAAGATAACTAAAGTACCCCTTAAACAAACACGTTCTGTCAGATCATTAAGTTATCATGCACCCATTGCGTTCTCAACTTTCTCTTCAAACAGAAAAGATTGAAGAATTCTGTAACTATTCATAAATGATTAATTACTCACAGAAGATTGTAGATCTCCATCTTCAACCTTTAGAAGCATCTTGATTTCCTGAGGAATAAATATGAAATGCATTGAGCACTATTCCATTTACAGTACTCAAGTCTACAAAGATAAAATCACAGACAAATGTTTCTTTTTTCAGCAATTTATTTTTCATTTCTATTGGCCCATTTTCAAAACTTCCTGTAGAAAAAAGAAGGCTTTTGATCATAACCAGAGGAATTAAAATAAGCTGGCTTTACAAACCTGGTTAAATATATATAATATACATTTGATAAAGTGTGATCCTTCATTCAGCATTAGACTATAATTATGTAACTTCATCTGTTAATACTTTTCACTCTACAGTAGTATCATTAAAAAAAATTAAGATTAAAAATAAATTACAGAATTTTAAAGAATAAATATTTACCCTTTGAGCTTGAGTGCACAAGTTAAGGCACCAACATCTTCAAATGAATGATTTTACTTGCTTTTTCTCTTTTTCTCAAAGTACTCCATTTCAGGATAAAAATGTTCAGTTTTTGGAATCATTATCAATTGCATAATCACAGATACGGCAAATCAGAGCTAAATCAGATTATCTGGAGGACCATTTTCAAAAGCTACAAACTAAAAAAACTACCCATGATATCTTTAAAGATAACTTCATATTTGTAATCATCCCAGAAATGTAAAGAAAATGAAGCAAAGTGTTCTTGAAGTTGTAAATATTAATAGTTTTATTTCTTTTAGAAGACTTTCAAATTAACAAATTACAAAAATAGTTTAAAAAACAACCAAAAAAACCCAAAGTAAAAATATAATTAAAAATTATGTTTTTTCAGTTATAAGAAAAATCTAGCGTATTTGAAATTGCAATTCAAGGTGCATGTATCCTCTGAATTTCATGTAATTATTTTGAATAGACTTTGAAATTTTAGCTTTTAAAGTAATGAAATTAACATTTTGAGTAAGTGAGAAAAAACATCACAAAATTGCTCTTCGGCGTTGCAATGGATCACAATGAAACAAGATTTATGGAGTTATCTCTTTCAAATAGGACTTCGAGAGTAATGTCTTTTCCATTCAATTCAGCACATAATCAAAATCCTAAATACATTGTCTGACCCCAAACTGAACTCCAAAAACCCACGTTTGGCCTTAAAGCACTATCTTTATCTTTCTGCAAGAACGAGCACATACCTCAGCAAGAAGGTATGAGCAGCACAACACCCTTAGGTACAAAGTAAAGTCATGTAAGAGGTGAAAAAAAAAATTAAAAAATTGTATGGGTTTAATGCCTTTTTAAACACTATTAGGCATTTAAAGGGCGGGATCTCCAAGTTTAACATCCATCTCTAAAAGGACAGAGCCAAAAGGGAGTTTAGTGTAAAGTGTCTTTCCCAAGGACTCAACATCAGACTGAGTTGAGGCTCGAACACCTGAACCCGCAACCTCATGATTATGATTCGAGTAGCCTAAACACTGGCTACCACTACATCAGAAGTGGAACCCTTGAATTAAATGCTCATCTACAGTAAGAACAAGATAAGTAGGTGGGAAGCCTTGAAAAAACTGCCAACCAAAGTATGAGAATGGCCTGTTGGGAATTCAAATCATGCCTATCTGCACTGTAGCTTAGCATGATAATAACTTGGCTATCAGTGCTCCAGAGAAGGGGTCAAAATCTAGTTTTCTGTCAGAAGCTCAGATGCAGGGTTCTATAGACTCTCTTGTCAAGAGTAAAATTCATCTTGAAAAACATTGATCATATACAATATTCGTAGTTTGAGACTAAACGATTTGAAATCACTCACGGTTTGCTTCTCAAAATCCAGAAGCTTTTTTAGGGTGACAATGCCCGTTTTCTGATCGATGTTAAAGAACTCTGCTCCATCACCAAACAAGAAATAACTGACTTCTGTTCCATCGGGATCTACTGCAACCACCGTGCCAATCACAGTTCCTGAAAGAAAGGTAATAATTTCCTAAATGAGCAAATTCAAGGAATATTTTCACAATATACGATACAAACCTAGGGTGGGCGCGGGCAGAAAAGGACTTCACATAAGATTAATTACTACGCTTATACATATTAGAAAACTGTGCTACGGGTAAAATGGAAAAAAAGATTCAGTTAATCTATTGAGACAAGGTCTCCCAATCTCTCTTTCTCTCCCACTTACAAAATGACAAACATTAAGAGAAACATTATCATAACTAAAGACATTTTTAGGTGAAATAACAAAAATTATTGGGAAAGAAGCTTCTACTAAAGATCTTATTATAAATATATTGAATTTTGCTGAATAACACAAAACCTACAATTAATCCAATCTTAAAATATTATAAGGTCTTGATCAAAAGCCATGTCCACAAACGAATCACTTTTCATTTGCCTTAAATTTCATCAGAAGATGTCTTTTGCAAGACCTTAATGCATAGGGATTTTGGACAACTAGCTGAGGATTGCATCAGCTTTCTCTTTTTTTAAAGAGATTCTGAATCTCCCTACCATACCATTTTCATAAAACCAGTGTGGGTGATGATGACTGAGAAAGGCAATTATTTCAGATACTATTGTACAAGTAAAAAGAACAGATACTGTGCATTTTGTAATTTTATCTTGTGTTTCCTACAATGTTGCATTTAAGCCTTAACAGATAAATCTTCTTTTTTAAACCCTATCCGTACGTCGTGTTTTACTATTGTATCCATACGACGAGGGGAACTCTGTGCCACCACTTTCCAAAGAGGAAATTTACTCCTCAAGTTGATCTGCACGCTTTGCTTAGCAGTCTGTCAAAATGATTTTTAGAGAAATACTGAAAGTTTCAAAGAGTATTCTAAAATGTGAAGAATATAACCCCTGGGGTACAAAATGACCCCAGGCGTACGGATAGGGTTGTGTTGATTTAACTCTTCCACAGGTTACAATCTTCTATTATCTGTACCCCACCTTAAAATTGACCTCAACTTAGGTCAAACTTCTCTTGCACAATCTGTGTACCTTTGAAGAGGTCAAACTAACCGTTGCATTAAAATATACAATTATAAAACAAAAAAAACCTGAAATGCTCACCAATTGCTGTTGACTCAGGCAGAGAGTTTCCATTTATAACAGAATAGTCTTTGATTTCAGGCACGTTAGTAACCAGCTGGCTTGATACCTTCCCACCTGCAAAAAACACAAAATCAATCAGTGCAGAATATGCTTCACTTTTAAAGGTAATTTTTCAGTATTCTTCTGCTGTCTTTCAATCAACTGCTATCTCTTCAAATTTCTTAACTTTGCAGCCTTATCAAAGTACTTCAACGAGTTAAAAGTAAAGTGGAGAGTACTTGCATGCTTCTGAAATGTTAAGACTGATGCGAGTAGATAATTTAGAGTACGATTAACTAAACTCAATTTAACATATGTATGGCATCGCGATGAAATCAGGTGCTCGTCAAAATAATGAAACCGAAGAATTGACATTTTTCTGGCCATTGGGCAACGTTAATCTCTTTCTTTTTGGTGTTGTGTCCATTTTAGAACACATTTCAGTGTACTGAAAAATGTTGATACTTTTACTTTTTCCTTTTTCATCCGCGTCGAGGGGAGATGCAGACGCTTAGCGGCAACAGAGGATGAAAAAGTAAAAAGTAAAGTAAGAAGTAAAAGTATATTTTTCAGTACACAGAAATGTGTTCTAAAATGGGATCCCCCCCCCCCCAACCAATGTTGATGAGGTATAAAAAAGAAAAAAAAGGGAAATTTTCAGTTTCTAAGGATACTCAAACATTGGAATCACCAAACTATCTCTCTCTTGCCCTTTTTAACTCCCAGTGGAGCACAGGCCATCAACAACATTACTCCAGCGAAGCCTGTCCTGAGCGTCCTTTTCTATCTGTTTCCATGATGTCCTCGCTTTTTCAATTTCCGCTTGTACCGCTCGCCTTCATGTCATCTTTGGTCTTCTTTACGCTTTCCTTGTGGGTTCCACGTTAAAGCCTGTCTGATGATGCTTGTCGGGGGTCTCCTCAGGGTGTGTCCAATCCATTTCCATTTCTTCACCTGAATATCTTCCCTTACTGGCCTTTGGCTTGTTCTCTCCCACAGTTGAGCATTCGTGACTCGATCGTACCACTTGATCCCCACTCTATCCTTCGTAGGCATCCATTTACGAAGCTCTGCAGTTTCCTTGCTGCTGATGCTGTGAGCCTCCATGTCTCTGAACCATACAGTAGAACAGTCTTCATGTTTGGTGTTCAATCCCAGTTCCTTAGACATCCATATATTCCTGAGAATGATGAATGCTGCTCTTGCCTTTTGGATTCTGACCTTGATGTCTTCGTCTGTTCCCCCTGCCTTGTTGATGACCCTTCCCAGGTAGGTGAAGGATTCAACATCTGCCAATGGTGCCCCTTGCAGTGTGATAGGAACGTCGGCTGCATTCATTCGTAGAACTTTTGTTTTATCCGTGTGAATATGGAGTCCAACACTACGGGAGAAGGTCCTGAGGCGATCTGTTTTCTGTTGCATCTGGGCTCGACTGTGGGAAAGAAGTGCCAAGTCGTTGGCAAGGTCCAAGTCTTCCAGCTGACTGGAAAGGGTCCACTGTATGCCACCGCGTTGTCCCGATGTTGTCTGTCTCATTATCCAATCCACTGCTAATATGTGATTCCCACGTTCTTCAACTACAAACATTTCGACTAGTCAAGAAAGAAAGGTATTTTATCTTATCAAATGCAAGACAAATAAATAAGCTTTAAGATTTTACAAAGAACTCCATGTAGGCCACCAAAGTGATGAGCATCTGATTCCGTTGGTGAAAATGGTGAAATGGTATATATATTAGGTTTAACATCCCTATCAACACCATTAGATAATTTAAGAGGTGGGACCTCTGAGTTAAACGTTCATCTCCTAAACAACTGAGCCAAATGGGAAATTCGTGCAAGTTGCCTTTCCCAAAGACACAACGTTGGATCAGGCTGACGTTCAAATCCCAGAACCCGCAATATTACGATTACGGGTCCCGAAGCCTAACCACTAGGCTACCTATGCCACAGTAATTCCTTTGTGCCGTTGCACATTTACATTATATCACAGATCATCACACAACATTTTTGTTATTTTCTTACCCAAGCAGGTGAGAACCAAAAGCAAAAAGATGTTTGGATTCATGATCCCAGCCCAATGTCTGTAGACCTGGAAAGAAATATAAGCCTTCTGTGATCACTTATTGTGTAAGAACCTGTCAGCAGTTAGCTGTAGATACAATTTATAAAAAAAAGTTTAGCATCTATTCTAGATGCCACCTTTACGACATTGGACAGTTCTGACCGAGAAACAATGTGTATTACAACATAAGGCATAAGATGGGAATTAAAAGCACTGTCTTCCGTTCCATGCCCAGATAGTGCCAGGCCAGTCGGAGGATATCTTTTCACCTCAGGTTTTTCCTGTCTCTCATCCCTAGGTCGGTCGGATCAAGTATTTTCTTTAGAGCAGAGGAACCAAGCAGGCATAAATTGTGAGATAATATGCTTTTTCTTCTTCTTCTGGCATCAGATTTGAAGTCCGCTACAATTATCTTGTTAATCAACTGAGGGAAAGAAAGACAGTAATAAAGAAAATACCACTAGATAACTGTTTCCAGTACTGAATCCAGGGATCCTGCATACAAAACAAGTCTCAGAAATACAAGTAAGATGAGTTTACATCTATGCTTTTAACAAAACCACCTCAATTTTGAAGTAAAAAAAAAAAAGAAATGGTCTGCAAAAAGATAGTCTCATGTCAGATAAATTAAGTTTTAAAAAGCAGATGCACAAAAACTAAAATCTGACAAGACAGTTGACATAGGCTACTAGTTGATTTTCTTAGAATTAAGGAGTTGCTTTTATGATGGGCTTCAAGTATTTTTCAACTATGATCCCAAACAATATATGAACCCAGTAACACTGTTAAGTAAATGGGTACCCAAACTTTCAGAACTTAAAGCAAAAAATTATTCTAGCACAGAGATTTTACCCTGCGAACATTAGAGCATGACTAGGAGTACTCAATCTTCACTCACACCGAAAGCATGCTTGAAGTAGTGCAAATCTAGCTGTCTACCCAAGGAAGCTCGGGTCATGTTTGCTCCGGTGGCTTTAACTTTAATTGTGTTCATTCAAAGGTTTAAGCCTAACTTTTACACACACCATATTTTAAATATAAAGAGAAGCATTTAGCACAAAAAATGTACACCCTATGACACTTTTATTGAGCTTACTTACCAAATAAGAGATGACTCTAGACAGGTGGTCGATCGGTAGACACCGTAGGCCTACTCAATGTTTGAGTCCTTGAAACAAAAGTGGAAAATTTAAAGCATAACATCATCAAAACAGAAAAAGCAGTAATCTGAAAGAAAACAGAATTCCTGATTTTTTTCGTACTTTGTATTAGACAACTGCTGATTAGTCGAAATGCTCATTTTCTAAACCAAGAACATTTTGAGGGTTATGTTGTCTAATATTTTCCACTAGAAACTCCTCAAGTAAGACAAATCACCAAGTCTTATAAATACACTTCAAAATATAGTCGAACCTGCCTTAACGGAAACCTGTCTAAACGGAATTTCCCCGCTCCTCCCTTGATATATTCCTAATTAATTACCCGTATAAAACGGCAATCTGTCCAACGCAGAAACGGAGAGAAAAATCCGCTCCCTTCTGAGGGTTTCACCTGTCTAAGACGGAAAATGCTTTGCCCACTCAGCCCTGATTTGAAACAAAACTCGCAAGTTTGGTTCCGTCGGTTCTAAACTTAATTATGACCCAAACGTTCTAACACACAGGAAAAAGTGACCTGCTCTTATAATTATTGTCGCCTTGGCCTTCGATAATTTGCCCTTTTATTAAATCTGTTTAGCAAAGTGCACTGATTACTGAGGTGTGTGCGGCCATGCCGCTGGGCGAGGAAGCGGAGTAGAGGTGCAATTTGGGGGTAGATGTTACCCCGTAGTGTGGGTGTGAAATCTCACGACTGCCCGTGAGAGTGCTCGAGTAGCGAGCCACGACGGAAACTTTTCCTGGGTAGCCAGAAGCCAGAGGTTTGAAATTAGATTGACCAATGCCTGCCGCCCTGATCTTATTGCCAGCCGAGAAAATAGTTCCTTGAATCAGTGTTACATGGTGGCAGTGAGGTGCGGCATTGGTTGACTGTGCTTTGGTTGACTGTGCTTTGGTAGACTGTGCTTGTTACACCCGTGGGTGGGCTAAGGGTGGAAGCAAAGGAGATGTTCAAATGTTTTTGTTTTTAATAGGTCAAACAGTGGTCCTACGAAGCACTGGTGGTAATTGGATAGTAAGACTGATGCATGTCGTTATCAGACAGGATAGCAGTTGAGAGGTGTGAAGTTTTGACCACTGCTTGCCGATCTAAGCGATCCTTGATCCCACCGGCTGGGTCTTTGAACGCCTCCCCCATTACATTAAATTATTTAGTTTTCGTATGGTCGTCTTTTATTAATCCATCAACATGAAAGGGCGTTATATAGGTATCAGTCGAGTGAAGGAACATACTAGGCATATAGATCCGTACTGTCTCAGGTCAAATGGCAATTAATATAACAGCACCAAATATATACAATCTCAAACAACACACACACCTCAGTAATCAGTGCACTTTGCTAAACAGATTTAATAAAAGGGCAAATTATCGAAGGCCAAGGCGACAATAATTATAAGAGCAGGTCACTTTTTCCTGTGTGTTAGAACGTTTGGGTCATAATTAATTAAATCTATTTATTTTTAACACATGCAGATTACAAAGTGTCAAAGGCTACTATCTTGATTGTAAAATGTAACCGATTCCGATCTTATCCTATGCATACATCATATCGGGTTAATTGACTCCCAATTCTAGACTAGATTCTAGACTAGATCTAGATTTTTCTAGATCTAGATATCTTGACAGTAGATCTAGATCCAGAAGGAAGGCATAGATCTAGAACTAGATTTATATAGAAATCTAGTCTAGAGTCTAGATTCTAGAATCTAGATCATGGTCTTGAACAATAGTAATCATTCCCACACTCAAAATAAGGTAATAACGACAAGCTTGTTGATAGCAATTGTCACTTGTAGACTCTATGCCTCCTTGTAAGCCTTGTTCAAATCTCAAGAAGTCGCAACAACATTACAACAATAATATTAATAATAACTATTAAATTTAAGTACAGACTGACTGTTCAGTACATTTTAAAGGAATGTAAGCTTACCATCGGTGACAGCCATATCCAGTGGGAGGATATCCAACACACCCAGAACCGGAGACTAGCAGGTTTACAATCATATCAGACTGGAAGCAACACATTGTGCTATTCATAGCACAATAGCAGACTAAACAAAACCGGTTTGACAACTTTCTTCTACTGGCGGCCATTTTATTTCATCAAACATTTGGCTTTAAAATATGAAATGCGTGGCAACGTCATACAAATCAATATTACTTTTATTTGTAATTTTGACATATAGACGTTCCTCAAGTAACAAAAAAAATATAAAAGATAAAAAATAATCTAATATCTTCTAAAAATTATTCTGGAATAGCACTTAGCAATACTACCGTCCTTTTAAACAAAAATGAGAATCTGATTTAGTTATGTTGAGCGACGATCATTGTCCATGTTTTGTAAGCCTTAAAGTTAAGATGGCGGTCGGGTATGAATGTGTCTATTTTTGGACTTGTCAAACCGGTATTGGAATATTTTTCGTCGTATTGTGTAGTAGGCCTACATCTAAGCATGCTCCGTGTGGTGGGTGTGCTCTCAAAGAAGCGGCCTCTGTACACAATGGCTGTCTAAATTATTTCGTTTGGATTTTGGCAGTGGATACACTCACAGTGTTGTGTAAGATTTCATTCATTGTGTGTAGCCTAGGCTAGAATCTAGTATACTCTGCCTCTGTTAAAAATCTTCCATAGATCTCGATCTAGACTCTAGTGAGTAAATTGTCTTTCTGAGAAAATAGCTTCACAATCCTTGGAGTGGTCTGGGTACCCCAGTCAGTTGTTAATCGCCTCTTACTCTTATTGTTTACATTATACTATACGTTTCATTTCTACCCGTAATTTCTGGTCTCATTAATTTCTAGGACTAGGATCCTGGAATAGGAATGAAAGTCAGAAAGGATAGAAGAGTTGTCTCAGTTGTTTTTTCTTACCTCACTCATGAAAGGAAATCAAGACTGAAAGTTGTGTCTTTTGTAGTTTAGTTTAGGGAGGTCTTTCAGGTTTCGTCTGAAGTATAGAATCTAGATTTCTAGATCTAATAATCTAGATATTAGATTTAGGTCTAGAATCTAGAATGAAAGTGGCTATTCTCACCCGCCCGGAAGTTCTTGCAAGATCAACTCCTCCCCTCTTCTCTCTCTCTCCGTCTCTTTCTGAATACTGTCTATCGGTGTGGACGATCAAATTGACCAAAACAAAGTTAAAAAATGATGTTAAAACACAAAATTAAATTAATTTGGTTGTCTACAAAGATGCTACGGCTATTTAACTTTTCGAATCGAGCCGAACTACGCGGGTCGCCATTTTGTTTTGCCTGGAAATTCTCGCGCTACTCCTCTCTCTCTTTCATCTCTCTCTCTCTCCACTGCCCACAGACAAAATTTTGTACGCTTTTAGTAGGCTACAATTGTAATGGAACGTTTGTTCACGGCACAGAATTCTACAATTTTTCTGTTATCACAGTGTAGAATTCTGTGGTTTAGGGTGAACGCAAAATTTGGTGAACGCGCACCGGGTGAGAATAGCCACAAGACTCGCCTGCACTATTCTCACTCCGGGTGAGAATAGAGGTGGCCATCTAGAATCTAGATCTTGAGATTTTTTTGCATAGTATAGTTAAACCTGCCTCAGTGGTCACCTCTCCATGTACCTCTTTAAACAGGTTTTGACTAGGGGGCAAGTTAAACAACACAGGTGTTCAATTAATTGTATCTTATTTCACATAAGGCCACCTCTATTCTCACCCTGTGTAAGTGTTGATTTCTGGACGATCTCCATTCACAGATTGTGAGAAGTTAAAAATCTGATTTTGTCAGTACACATCAATCACACACACTTACTTGGCCTTGTAAAAAATGACATGGTATTAGAAATATATATCTAAATCTAGATCTAGTAGCCTATGCATGTGTTCCGTACAATTTACCGATCGGAGCAAGATTGTGCTGCGTGTTTTGACGATCGTACAATTGCGTTGCAATCTAAAGATTTCGCTGCACGTTTTAATGGTCGCATATTTGCACGACAATCTGAAGATTGCGTTAATTTTAATATTCTTGAAAATAATCATTAAAAAAAATTCACTTCCATCTTTATTCTTTTACTCACATCAAGGAACATTAGTGATTAAATTACATAATTACATATTTTCCAAAATGTAAAAATATTCAAATTCAATTAATATTACGAAGTGACTATTTCTCTGAACGTTCGGGAAAATAAAGCTTAGCTCTATTTTTCCGAACGGTTTCCGATCTCGAGATTTTTTGGGTTATTTGCGAAATTTAGGCATCATCCTTTCATTCTGCCATTCTGCGAGGACAGGGAAGAAGCATTTTTTGCATCAAAATCAATTTCTAGAGCTAGAGATTTTTAAATGTCTAAGATATTCAGATACTTCAGTCGTGGTTGGGGCAACGTTCCCGGACATATTTCATTTGAAAATACCTCCAAAAGGTACTGCGAGAAAACAAAACTGCTCGACCTTGGCAGTAACCTATTTTGCATTTAGTCTCCAGCAAAAAACTAAAATTCTTCATGTAAAAAAAAAATCCCTCCTCCCCCATCCATTCACACCTTACACACACGCACACACACGGGCCACTCCATTCGCTTATTATCAACAAATCTCGAGAACGGAGACCGTTCGGAGAAATAGAGTTCAAGTTTATTTTCCTGAACGTTTGGAGAAATAGAGCCGGCCTTAATATTAAACTGAAAAGTTCACGAGAATGATACAATGCCAGGTATCGATTACTAAGTTAACAAAGTACATTTAATTTATTTTATGAAATAATAATTTTTAAAAAATTCACTTCCGTCTATCTTTATTCGTTTACTCACATGAAGGAACATTCACATAAATTTTCAAAAGTGTAATAATATGAGAAAATTAAAATTAAAATTAATGTAGACTGAAGAGCTCACAAGAATGGTACAATGCCAGAGGTATCAAATTCAAAGTTCACAAACTACATTCAATTTGTTTCACATTTAAAAAATAATTTTTAGCAAAATCACTTTCAATTAAAATTAGTCTTTTACTCACTCCAAGGAACATTCATATATTTTCAAGAGTAAAAATATTTAAATTAAAATTACTGCTCAGCCGAGGTAGGGGCAAGCAAAGATTCATTCACTATTGAGTGAAGGAAATACACTATATTAACACTTCATGCGACCCTCATGCTTTTTATGACAATTTGGCAGATTCTTTAACCCTTTGTTGTAGAAATATCTTTGATCAATAAAACAAGGATGTTCGAGAAGGCAATTTAAAGATGGGTCAAGCATTGCATGCCACACAAGACGGTCCATCGATATTCTGCTCAGAAGTGATTTTTTATATTTTGTTCTTTGAATATATATAGGGGACTCTTGTGGCCTAGAAGTTGAGGTGTTTGCCTCCCATTCAAAGGTCGCGGGCGGTGGAAAAAATTTTATTCTCTATAATAATTGTCTCTTTTCACCTCCTTTCCTGGTCTCCTGCAATATTCTGTCGTCTGCTTTAGTCTCCACTTTCTCCCCCACCCCTTAACCTCATTTGCCCCCTCCTCTGGGCTCCTGACTCTTTCTGCAGCCTTTCCATTGCTTCCCCGTGACTCCTTCTAATTACTGCTGTCTTTCAGCCACACCCCTTATCTTCTGGTAGTAAAGATCTACAGCTAGCTAGCCTTCTAGGGCGAAAAATCTTGGAGGTCTCGTGTGCAAGTTGTGCACATTAAAGATCCCTTGGTGGTCCAAAATCGATAAGAGTAGGCTTCGGCCGCCACCCGGGCTCGATTAAAAATTTCCTATCAACTGAAAATATTAGGTGTGTCCCGCGTGCTCGTATGACCTTATATGCATTTGCGAGCTCCGTAAAACACATATCAAAGGAAAAAAAATATGTAGAGGTAGCATCAATAAAAGTTTAACTTTGTGGGTGGTTGACGGGTGCTCTGGTGTGGTTTGCTCCTTCTTTCAAAACATCTATTGTCCTTATCTCTCCCCTTCCTTTTTAGTGTATGTTACTTTCTTGTGACATTTCTATTCTTCGGCACAAGTGTCATAAAACTCTTACTAAAACTAAAAAAGTTTAACTTTCATTTTAAAGCCATTGTACATTGTCATTGTTGTGTTATTTGATTTAGATGGGTTTTTAAAAAATAGTAAATCCAGGGCGTTTGTGTATTTACCCTTCTTTTTCATTCAACTGGTTTGCCTGTCTTCTTTCAGATTTTTTCCAGCCATGGACTCTCCATATAAGATCCTGTTTGTGGGCATTCTTGCAAGTAAGATATTCATTTGTCTTTTAGTCTTGTGTTGAATAATTTTGTCAGAATTAGCATTTTTATGTCTTAAGCCATTGTTTAATTTGAACTTCAAGGCAAATCTGTGCTCCTCTATGGCTGTCAAACTTGGAAGACAACAAAGACAGTGCTGAATAAAGTCCAGACTTTCATCCACAGATGTATGAGGAGTATTCTAATACGGGATTCCCACTACAGATGGGAGCCCGACTCGGTCGCCTAAAAAACAAACGTGTTCGTTTTCAGTTTCAGGCGATGGAGTTGGGCGATCGGCCCGATCCAGCCGTAGTGGGCACCCCGTATAAGAATTAAGTGGCACGATAGAATAAGAAATGAAGAGCTTTGGGAAAAGACAGGACAAAAGGATATAGAAGTAGAAATAGGACTAATAATGTGGCGATGGATGGGACATACCTTAAAAGAAAGCCCAGTGGAAACATCACAAGACAGTCTCTGCAGTGGTACCTTCAGGGAGCATGAGCCACAGGAAACATAGAGGTGATGCGTGGAAACAAACGAACAAGAGAGAGATGAAACTCACTTGAAACGAGCTTGTAAGGATGGCCCAGGACAGAGATAAATGGAAGGAGCTTGTATGGCCTATACCCTGCCAGGGGTGAAAGGCATTTTGATATGATTGTTTAATTTGTGATTTTTATACTTAATATCTCTAAAACTTTCTATTATTGAATGTGTGCTTATTTGTGACTTAAAAGGAAAATGCCCTGTGTTTTCTTACATCCTACTCTAAGTCTAAGGTATCGGATAAAGGGGGGTGGGGGGTAGGAATAAACGGGAGGGGGGTGGGGGTAAATCTCTTACCCCTGTACTAATAGGAACAAATCTGTTTCATTTCTTCTTAAGTGAAAAAAAAGAACAAGAGATCATGACATTTTAGTGATTTTAGTAAGTTGCTGTGACAACTTTTCACATTCAGGAACAAACCAGTTTCATTAAAAAATATAAACCAATGTTACATTTTTTTTTATGCACAGAAAATTGAGGTAGCCAACCCGGTACCGGTACTAATACTGATGGTAATTTGCCATTTACAAAAAAAAAAAAGAAGTTTCATTCAGATATATCTAGATTCTAGATATAATGTTTCACATGATCTTCGGTCGTGGCAAGCTGGAAAATAATAAACGGGGGATATGGAATGGAGGGGGGGGGGGGTGTGTGCAGAAAAACTGACAATTAATAGGTGGGGGGGGGGGGGGTATTCGATACCTTAGAGAACTTCAAACTTGTAAGGTGCTTTTGTGCTTTATTGCCAACCAGTCTATTTAAGCTGAGAGTATAAAAAAGCTCTGGCAACATACACAAGTTTTCATAGTCCAACGCATACCCTTTGAACTCTCTTTATAATCCGAACAAAAGAATAAGAAACTGCAAAATTATAAAACTATGGACATGACTAAAAAAAAAACCCAGTAGCTTTCGCACATCTCATGTCATGTTGACTGTTCCTTTCAGTTTCTGATTCTTTGTGCTCTTTAAGGCAGTCAGCATCCCATTTATATTTATTCATAGCAGGAGGAAGACTTTTTCTCAAAAGTTTTCTTACAGTGTAATGCTTTTACATCTTAATTGTTAGTGTTACAAGAAAGGAGTTAGATGGCAGGAAGGAGACGTCTTTATTATGTTTTCTACAGGTGGGGCAGGTGTCACATTGTTGTTTTCTGTAAATTGCAAGCCCACAAGCCATAAGTCCCTCCCAATTGTCTTCTTGTGTGTGTGTGTCTTCCTTTTATTTATACAGATGCCCTTTCAAACTGTGTCTTCCTGAAATATATGTATGAAGTTGTTTACATTTTAGTTTCAATATTCCAACTATTCATATTTTAAAGGAGGATACTAACCACTGTTTTCTTTTCCTTCTGTAAAGGTTTCCTTGGGTCTTGCATTGGCCAGAGTAAGTATTATAGCATATTTAAGAAACAATTACTGTATGTTACTTTCAAAGAGAAATACATTCTGCTTGTATGATGGGAGAAATATGAAGTGAAGATGGTCAAATGAAAGCCATAAAAAGGATGTGAAAAAAGGTCTCTACCCAGTGGTAATGGGTCAGATAATTTTGAATTCAGTTACCTTGTGAAGTAAATGGGTCAGCCGTGATGCATGGCTGTGGTCTTGGAACTGAAACACTATTCACTAGAACCGCGCTGCTCTTGCCTCTTGATAAGCAGTGCTGTCATTTATCGTAAGGCTGTTTAATGCTGGCAACAGCGGAGCATATATTGGCTAGCATTGCAGTAATTTTTAGGGATTAAGGTATAGCCAAGCACTTAATCATGCAGTGTGAGTGTCTCTCTGTTTAACACCCACGTGTGAGGAGGATGCTTAAATTTTGGCTTGGCCAAGGGTCCATTCAAGGGCTGAGACCATGAAAGTTAACTTGCATTTGCTTTTATGTTCTTCAACGCTTTTTTCTGTTCATTTTCTGTTTGATTGTGACTTATTGTAACTCCAAGATGCTGAATAAAGCCACCAAGTTGAAACCTCACTGTTCCAGTGCTTCTGCCTTTTGGCTAGTCGTACGATTCACACTATACAATTATTGCCTTCTTTTATAAATCTTGCAAATTACTGGAGTAGTTCACCGATTAGCAATTGACAATGACTTTCTTTATATATTTTTCTTCAATTTAAAGATCTTGTGTTCTTGTAGTCCTAGATTTACTTGATTGTGCCGAAACATATTTAGTTCTATTATTCCCGTTTTAGTTATAATGTTTTTGTTATTCATTGTTTTTCTGCACTGATATTTCTACCTTTTATGATGAAAACCATCCATCCTCAGATAAACCACCAGTTTGGAATACTGCTTCTTACGATGTTTTGACATCTGGTATCCGTGAAGACACCCCTATATGTGAGTTTTTGTGATCAAAGTAATGTGGTCAAGCAGATTTAATGATATTATATGTTGAAATGGACCTTATTTGACCACACATCTGAATTCTCAAATTCCAGCTGTCCCTCTTTATAGAGTATGTAGGCATTTTTTAAAAACTCAAACTTACAAGTCAAAGTGCAATTATTCATAGATAGTAAGTGCAAAACTTTCTGGGAATCTAAAGTCGAAGTAAAGTTGGAGAAAATCTGTTTGCACCCCCTTTCCAGCACAATTTATGGGGAGGCCAATATTGCTGCTTGTGTAACCCCTAAAAATTGTAGGAATACAACAAGTATTTTTTTTAATTCAAAGGAAACATTTCTATAATTACAAAAAAATTACAAAGTGTAGATTAAGCTACGTAGCAGTTTCAGCTATGTCAGTAACAGAAGTAACGTGTAACATGAATTTCATTCCCTTTGAAAGAAAAAAATGTATGACTGTTTTTCTTATTGGTGATTTATCTCTAAATTTAGCTTGTTGTGTGCAAATAACGATGTTTTTAAGAGCTTTTTAAGCCATGCCCTCAAAATGTTACCCAGACCCTCTCATATATATAATATATGTATAGATTTATCTACACATGCGTTTTATTTTGATCTTAGGCTGTTATTCGTGCAGCACAACATGAGAAGAAAATAAGTAACTGGTCATGCTACCGTCTTATTTATTTAATAGTACAGGAATAGTAAAAAGTTTATGTTGTATTTAACCTATAAGTTACATTTGCCCTTTGTTCCATAGCAACTGTTGTTGCAAATCTCAGTTGTATTGATGCCGACGGAGACAGAATCAAGTACATCAAAGTGTCTGCTGATGCTTTTCAAGTCACTCAGCTGGGTCAAGTTATTCTGATGTCCCCACTTGACTTTGAAGTGAGTACATGTGTCACGAGGCGTTGGAATCGGGCGCTCGTCAATTTGTGTGCATGTGGAATTATTGGTATCATCTGACAGCTAGTTTATTTTCCGTGATTTCCATGAAATAAAAATCCATCTCTCTTGAATATAACTCAATATATTTGCGGTTGAAGTAGGTGAGGTCGCCTGGTTTTAGTGGTGAAATTAGTGAGAAAATGGCCACAAAGTTTGTAACTCCAATAGGTATAAAGAGTCCTTGAAAACAGAAAAATGATATTTTATGCCTTTAATCAATGTTTTTCAGTAAAATTCACATAAAAATGTGTTTTTATACGGACATAAAAGGTGTTTAGCCGAAAATCATAAATTCGATAAAAATTCCCAAACCTGCGGAAAATGCCAGTTTCTTCACCTTCATTATTTTGACGAACGCCTGATTTCACCATGCTGCCTCCTATATAAACATGTAAAAAAAAAAAGTCTTGTTGTATAGCCCCTTTACTGTTGATCTCAATGGAAAATTTGATGTAGATAGTGGTCTGATTGCTTTCTAAGTTCAAGGTTTAAACAAATGTGAAAGTTATGGTATGTATGCTCTAAGACACAAGGACATGTACTTTAGTAGATTTTAAAAAAGTTATGTTCTTCTAGTATGTAACACTTAATCCTTTTTGACGGATTTTTTTACTTTCTGATAGCATTACATTGCATCCCCATTATCACTAAATGAGATGAAGCGCCACTGTTGGTGCAACTTTACCTCAGAGATGTCCCTCTTGACTGACCCTCAACAAGTCTTCCGAGTCATAAACGCCATCTCATCTCAGGCAAGAAAACCCCCTCCACCGGCAGTGCACTCACAGTAAACAATAAAACCCTAAAAAGAGATAAAAGCGAGGCTGAAGCCTTTTGCCGTGAATACGCCTCAATCAGCCGCCTAAAACTCGACAAGGCAGACAAACACTGGCACTACCAGCTTAATGAAAAGCTTAAACTCCTCCCTATTGACCAGAACACAGGCTATGATTCTCTCCTCACCATGGCTGAACTGACAGTTTGTATAGGAAAGCTGAAAAATGGCAAATCTCCTGGGCTTGATGGTGTAACCAATGAGATGATCAAACACCACAGACCCATCGCAACCTGTGCCCCGCTCCGTCTTTTCAACCTATCATGGGAAATGGCCATTGTCCCAAACAGCTGGCGACGTGCCAAAATCATACCGATACCCGAGAAGAATAAGCCTGCAGGAAAGATTGGGTCCTACCGCCCCATCAGTCTCACCAGCTGCCTTGCTAAGCTGATGGAGACCCTCGTCAAGAACCGCCTGATGTACTTTCTGGAGAGCAACAACTTGCTGAGCAACAACCAATCGGGCTTCCGCAAGTTACGGTTTGCTGAAGACCAAGTCCTGTGCCTAACACAACATATCTCCGATGGATTCCAGGCTCGTCCCAAAATGAAACGAACTGTGCTAGCCCTCGTGGACTTCTCGCGTGCCTTCGAAAAGGTATGGCGCACGAGGTTAATGGAGAAGATGATTGAGAAATCTACTCCCAGCCGCATCACCCAATGGATAGGTTCGTTCCTCAGAGACAGATACGCCTGCGTCGAGCACGGCAACGCAACAAGCAGGCTTCGTCGTTTCGAGCAGGGAGTCCCCCAGGGCAGCATCCTGTCCCCCACACTGTTCCTTGTCTTCATTGATGATATTGAAGCAGGCCTGCCTGAAGCCGTGAAGACGGGACTCTATGCTGATGACTATACAATATACGCCACCAACGAAGACATAAATCAGGCTGAAAACAGTGTCCAAGCAGCCATAAACTTACTTGAGCAGTGAGCAAAACAAAACAAGATGGAGATCAGTACGGAGAAAACAGAGTGCACCCTCTTCACCACCAGCACCCACGAGGCCAAGCGAAAACCAGCACTCTCACTCAAAGGCTCCCCCATCACCTTCAACTCCAACCCCACCTTACTTAGGGTCACACTTGATCGTACTCTATCCTCCAACGCCCACATCCAAAACCTTGAGCTAAAACTGTCAAGCAGACTTCGACCATTGAAAGCCCTTACAGGCACCACCTGGGGTGCCTCAAGGGAACGCATAAAGCCTATATATTATGCTACTTGTCGGTCAGCTATCGACTATTGTGCCCCTGCCTACATGCCTCTTGCCAAACTCTCCAACCTGCAGAAACTGGAAAGAAAGAATGAAGCAGCAAGAATCATCACAGGCTGCTCAAAGGATACTCGTGTGGACAGCCTCCTCACCGAAGCAGACATTTTACCACTAAGGCATAGAGCTGATGCCTTGACTGCCATCTCATTCGAGAAGTCCATGCGTCTGCCTGCAACGAACCAACGCAGAGCCTCCGCAACAAAATCGGTGCCCACACGGACAGGCAAGTCGAACTGGAGAAAGCATGCCCAGAACCTCGTAGCCGAAACTGAACTGGATACGTACCCACGTGAGGAGCTGGTTGTTTTACCCCCCACACAACCGTGGAAGGCTGCGTCATGCAACGTGACTTTTAGCACCGATCTTGTCGTCGACTGCAAGCGTGCTAATGAACCAGCTGTCAGGAAAGCAGCAGCAGGGGCTACAATTCGTTCGCTCCCCCTGCCTGATGTAGAAGTCTGGACTGACGGTTCAGCTAAGCACGGTACTGAGTATGGAGGAAGTGGAATACTGATCAAGACCGGTGATACCGAACTCGACCAGCGGGTACCTGTGGGCCGGTATTGTTCCAGCTACAGGGCCGAGCTTGTAGCTCTCGACACAGCGCTTGACATGCTTGTGGCACTACATACAGCAGGCAGCCTTCCGAACAGTGCACGCATCCAAATATACACGGATTCTAGGTCAGCAGTCATGCGCCTCTTATACGGCCCTACCAACCAATCGGAAAAGGTGGCCTGCCCAATCTGGCAATATCTGCACACCCTCTGTCAACGCTCTGAATGTTCCATCCACTTACAGTGGATTCCAGGCCACGCTGGACTGGCTGGGAACGAGAAAGTTGACAGCATCGCCAAAGAAGCAACAGTGCTTACCCAGATTGACACGTCAATCGATTTCTTGACAGCTAAAGCCGTCATCCACCGATCGACCCGCGCAAAGTGGAAAAGACAGGCGAAACCCAAACTGTCGTTTGCCCAGCCGCCGTCATACCAGCTTGAGGCCGCGCTCAGACGACAGGACTGCCGGCTTTTACTCCCAAATGAGAACTGGTGGAAAATCGCCCAAGCTGAGATCATATCTCCATAAAATTGCGCCAGGGGACAACCCAGATCCGTCCTGTCGAGCCTGCAAGGAGGAGGACGAAACTATGGACCATGTGTTCCTGAGATGTCCCGCCAGCTATCGTGCTAGAACCCATCTGCTGGGACATTTCAGTAACCCACTTTCATCACTTTTTAAGGACCCCTGGGCAAGTGTTGAGTTCCTGCGTGCTGTCGGCATTGCTGACCGTTTATGAAGCCACAGCGCCAGAAGAGAGAGAGAGAGAGAGAGATCCCCATTATCCTTTTTTTTTTTGGGAGGGGGGGGGGGGGGAGATGTATTTGTTTTGATACCATGAATTATTTATTTTTCCAACAATAAGAAAAAAATTTCTGAGGAGCATAATATTAATATAAATTATAGTATATATTTTCTGTTTGTATTTCAGGCAAGGGATCGCTTCGGTTCTGATGTTGAATTTGCCTGTGTTGACGTTGACAGCGAAGGAAATGAGATCCATAATAGGGTATGTGATGTTTTGTCTGTCTAAGTACTTTTGTGGTTTGAATTTAGCCTGAAATGAATAATTTGACCTTGCTGACAAAGGCTTTTGTAGTCTAGAGCCGCGGTGTCTGGCTCTCAGTCAAAAGGTCCTGAGATCGAAATCTGCCTGTGCGTGGTGAAGCAAAAAAGTTCTTCTATAAGATTTTTTCCTTTGTTCTCCTCGCAACTGTAGAAAGTCTTATGAGCGTATAGGACACATTAAACATTTTCAGTTTTGTAGAAATTTTGAATTTTGCCCGGATGGTGGCCGAAACCTACTCTTATCGATTTTAAGACCACCAACGGATCTTTAACGCGCGCAACTTGCTCATGAGACCTCTTAGATTTTTCGCCCCTATCCGAGAATGCTAGGTGTTAGATCTCTCTGCTTTTGTATCCACTTTCTGCCCCCACCGCCTCACCTCCTTTGCCCCTTCCTCTGTGCTCCTGACTCTTTCTGCTGCCTTTCTACTGCTACTCCTTGGCTCCTTCTTACTGCTGTCTTTCAGCCACACCCCTGATGTTCTGGTTGGATAGATCTTCACCTAGCCTTCTCGGACAAGGACAAAAAATCTTGGGAGGTCCCGTGTGCTAGTTGCACATGTTAAAGATCCCTTGGTGGTCTAAAATCAATGAGAGTGGGCTTCGGCCGCCAACCGTGCAAAATAAAAAATTTCTTACCAACTGAAAATGTTTAATGTGTCCCACACACTCATATGACCTTATGCAGTTTTGAGCGCTGTAAAACACTGACCCCACCCCCCCCCCAAAAAAGGGCACTGATACTGAAAACAGCAAGAGCAATTAAAAAAATTAAAATAGAACCACAGAATTTTTCCAAAACACAACAAATGATTATGGCCTTTGGGAATATCCACTTAGGTAGCGGTACAACTGCAAATTCTCTAGTGCACATTATTGGCCATTTGGAACCGAACTTTTGTTCCCAAACCTATTCTCATTTTTCATCAGGTCAATGCAAGAGTTCAGTTTTCCATCGATGATGCCAATGATAATCCTCCACAATTTGAGCTGGACAATCCTGAAGGATACTCATTTTCCGTCAGGGAGGTAAGTTCAACATATTTTGTTGTTTGTTACCTTGTTGAATGCATGCTGTTTTTTCCAAGGACTATGATTTCTGATCAAGTAGATCAAGCAACTTTATTTATTTAATTTGCATATGTTTAGGCTTGACTCTTTTCTCTTACAATTTTGGCTGTAGGTCTTTGTAATACCTTTCACTCACTTTCTTACCTTATTCTCCATAAACGTGGGTGGTTGGCAGGTTCTCTGGTGTGGTTTGCTTCTTCTTTCCTATGAAACATCTATCATCCTTATCTCTCCTTCTTCTTTTTTATGTTTTTTACTCTCTTGTAACATCTCTAATCTTCTGGCGCTCATATGACCTTATGCACTTGCGAACACCGTAAAACCTCTACTAAAACAGAAACTAACTTCTCCTTAAGCAGCATTGATCATCAAAAATGCCTCCCCATAAATGTCTGTATTGTGTTCACCATCATTATTTTGTTTCGTTTGAGAATTTGCTCATTTTTGTTTTTTCCACTGTAGCATTTCATCTAACCAATCCTTGCACTGGCTGTGATTATCTCTCTCTCTCTCTTTGCCGGTTGTAGTAAAAGTTAGTTTTTAAGTGTGTCTGCTGTATTTACTTGTTCTCCTCTTCTCTCATGTGGTGTTGATGGTCTGGTGGTTAGGTTGTTGGGTTTGTAACTGTAAGATTAGGTTTTAAACTACATCAGGGGGCCTATGTTGTGTCCTTGGAAAAAGCATTTTACATTAACATTTTTCTCTTAACCATGCTTTTTTACTGTCGCATTCTTTTAGTCTGTATTGCTATTTCCCAAAATAAAGTTATTGTTACAAAGTTGTTTTCTCTCTTAATTCAGTGGAAAAAAATCCAGAAAACTTGCTACATTTATAGACAGTACCATGAGATTTACTGTCTTCTTGTCTATGAAGGGGATGGCTGGAGGGCACCTCTTGTTGGTCCTACTTGTTATCTTTTCCTGTTTCTGTATATCTGTCTCGCTTCTTCCCAGCACTGTCTATATGAGCGTTATTATGTCGATGTGCTTCTAATTCTCTTTCCCAAGGAAAAAAACCACAACCAAAAAACCAAAATTTGGGCATTGTGAATGCTCCTACCACATGGCAAAAAGTCCCCAACTATTTTTAAACTTGTGTATATATATATAGATCAATCTGTGAAAGCCTTTGTTGTTCTTCTTTTTTCATTAGGATATGCCTGTTGGAACTACCTTGGTTCCGGCCATCACTGTACTAGATGCTGACAGAACAGTTAATGCCAAACTGGACAGACTGTACTTTATTTGTGACAGTGACATTCCCAGTGAAACAAACAACCTTGATGCTACCGTAAGTTGCTGCTCTTTGATGTTTGGGTTTTAATTTATTTTATTGCTTTTCTGTTGTTCAAAAGTTTTTAGAGTAAACATGACGTAGGCTTTGTTGATATTTGTTGTATGATCAAATGTATGATGGATTCTTATCCTTTAAATAGATAAAATCTCCACAAAATTTTGACAGAACATGACATATCCACATGATAAGAGTAAGGAAGGGAAAGAATCGCTGACAAACTTTTGTCGACCCCAAGCAGTCAAGTGACTCGGGGAGAGAAATTGATTGGCGCTCAGAGGATATGTTGCAGTTTGTCAAAAACTGTCTACTGCTTTTGTCACTTTTTTCTACTTAAAAAAAGTGTCACTTTCTACAGTTTTTTAAAAGGATAAAATGCATTTTGTGAAAATACAATTTCACTCTGTAGTGTGCCTCACCTTTCTATGTTCAACGGTACTAATTTCATCCAAATTTCAAAAATGGCATTTGTTGTCAAATTTTTCACTTATTCCCTTTTGCGCAGACAGCAAAAATGCGTTGATCTCCTGGGGGGATTGCACTACTGAGAAATAGATAAATAGTGAGTACTTCATGCAGAAGTTTAATTTTAATTGAAAATGAGCTTTCCAAATTATGACCATTTTCACATTGATTTTGGGACAACCTTTGTAAATCTGGTAGGTCCAAATTTGTACAGCTTATTGGAGTAAGGTGTGTCAGATATCGAAGTTTAGTGATATGTATATGGAGTTATGTTTTTATGTCTATAGAACTAGTGTATGTGATGTGGTGGTTAGGCGCTTCGCTGTATAAAGGCAGGAGACCCGAGTTCCAGTCCTGAGTGGGGAGAATTTTTATTGAAAACATCTATCTCTGTGTTTCTGCTAGGATGTTGTATCCCTCTCAACGAGGGTTGGTCACAGGCAGGGTTGGAAGCCCGCCCCCTGAATGATCTAAATTGTATCCATGGGGGTGTAAAAACACATACATTTAAAAGAAAGGAAGAAGAAGAAATAACCGAACAGAATTTAGATGCTGATTACAACCTTTCGAAATCAATCCCTGTCTATGTAGTATCTAAAATGATTGTTCTATTTTTTTTTCTCAATGTTGCAGAGCCGAGAGACCTGTAACAAGTTTCGACTGGAATATACACAAGAAAATGAGGGTGTATACACGGCATCAGTTGTACTTAAAGCACCTTTGGACTATGAAGAACGGCCTGTCTATTCTTCCAAACTTGTTGCTGTAGTAAGTAGTTGATATATTTTGAACTTATACCATGGGTATTATTTTTCAGGGCTGACCCCGGAATTCTGGGTTGGCGAGATTTTCTACGTCGAATTTCCAGGTTAAGGCCTACAAACTGCGGAAAGCACTAAAGAGAAAGGGCGAAATTTTAAATAAAAATCATTAAAAAAACAACAACACAAAAAGGATCTGTTTTTGCAACGCGCCCCGTAGGCTACTGAAGCTACTTTCGTTGAGTTCACCGAAGTTCACTGTCACCATTCGTTCATCGAGGCTCGATCTTCTTCAACCCCACCTCGCCAGCCGGTGTGCATTGAGACGTTGCTCTTGACGTCAGTTGACCGGCACTACACAGTGAAGGCGAAGGGTCGCAGGAGGGAGAGGTGTGCTGCCAGCTGGGTATAAACTGTGCTGTTTGGGTGCTCCAGATTGATTTATCGTTTTGGATGATTAGTACACTACAAGTCTAGCTCCACCCCAGTCCATTCAGGAGGTCACTGTGGTCGTACAATTGCCGCTCTTGACCTGAGGTCACTGAGATCTGCCACTCATCCCGATTTTTTGCCCCAAATCTCGAGCATCCCGATTTTCCAGGTTTCGATTGTGTGTATTCCGATTTTTGTGATTCCCTCTGTTGCATCGGATATTTCTAACCACTGAGTCTGTCTGCCTTCTTCTACTGTATGTATATGTCGCGGGAAGCGCCCATTTTGAACTTTTGGTCAGTAGGAACTTGGAGCACTATTTTACGAAATATCGATGCCGGATTTCGTTTTTGACTTGCTCCAAGTTGTGTTTGATCTTTGCTAATACGTGTTATTTCAACTATAGGCCTAGGCCTAATAGAAGTAGTATCGATTTGGTATCCTGTCTTGGGACATTCTCAAAGTCTACTTTTGCTTTTGTTCCCGCTCAGAATTCTCCGATGATGGCCAGATAACTGTTTCAACTGCAAACGTTCAAGTGATCAATATTAATCAAGAGTTCTGCTTTTACTTTCAAAACAAGCTTTGTCCAAGTTCTAGTTTGTCGGGCTCAAGGTATTAAAAAATAAATCCGGTATCCTCGGTCGGACCCATCATCAAAACCCGTCGCTGATACTGTTTCAATTGTGCGTTTGCATAATGTGACATGACTGCGGCGTGTGAGTTTCGTGTGTGTTGGGGACCGTCCGTTGACGGGGTCAACTTAAAAGTTCAAGCACACTGGTTAAAACATCTTTCGGGACCTATCGGGAGGGGGAGAGGTGTTAGACACTTGGACCAGGAATGCTTGACGTGATACTTCAGGATTTAAAAAGAATATAATGATAGAACACACACATACACAGAGAGAGAGAGAGAGAGAGAGAGAGAGAGAGAGAGAGAGGGAGGGAGGGGGGGAGGGGGGGAGGGAGGGGGGGAGGGGGGGAGGGAGGGAGGGAGGGAGGGAGGTCTGCTATATTATCACCCTTTTCAGCACTCTTTTTACTAGTCGTGGAAAACAGTTCCATTGGAACAATAGGTCCAGGTATCCTGCTATCAAGATCATCAAGATCTTTGATAACGATGGCAATAGGCCTATGTCTTGGGGTTGGAAGGAAATTTGCACTTGTTTGTTCTTTCACGGGCAACTTTCAAATCCCCGACGTGATTGTATGACAGTAAAATTGTAGGTCGCGTGTTTTCTTATAGTTTTTTTTCTTTCGTCTCAAGAAAAGTGTTGGTCTATAATTGATGTAAATTTTTCTGTGGATCTGTACAAATCTCTGTTATTGGTGTTAAGATATTTGTCACCAGGTTGCTCTTGCACCCCAACGGGGGCCTTACCGGCTCCTGGACCCCGGCATTTGGGGTGAAATTTCAGGGTTTGGACAATAGGTAACACTGATTTGAGGGGCAGCAAAAGTTCCCATTTACACCCTTGACTCTTACTGAATAGATCTGTCTTTTTGTTGATGGTGAGTTTTTTTCTGTGTTATGTCCATGAGACTATTTAAATTTTCATTTTTTCGGTGGGGATTATGTAATTGTGTTTGATAAAATACTGTTGTCTCTATTTTGAATAGAAAAATGTGCTGATGGGATGTAGAATAGGACAGTTTGAATATTATCTTGTACCTGTCAAAGGGTTCATGATGTCTTCAAAATAGCTAGGGGAAATCCCATATATTGAACTTCGTGTATTTCAGTATACCTAAATAAAGTTGACTTAATTCTTTTATCTGTCAATAATAATTTTGGTGCTGCATACTCATGATTACATGACGTAATAAGTTTTGTGATTCTGATTTATTCTTTAGGATGGACCAGGTCTTGGAATCAGTCACCTCTCCTCAACCACCAACATTCAGTTCAACCTTGTGGATGCTCAGGATGTTGGTCCTGTCTTCACCAACCCTGGTGCCAGTACAAACGTTCCTGAAAACATCCCAGTTGTAAGTTACTCTGTCTGTTCTCCATCCCCTGACAGAGTTTTCCTTATTGCTCTACAACTTTTATTTGCTATAGTTTTTAGCACCCTCTTTGATATGATCTGTCAACTTTCCGGCTATATTTTAATAGGTTTGCCCTCATAGTGTCGTTGACGAATACCCTGAGGTGTCGGTGAAAATTATATGATTTCACTATAATATTAGGGGGTTTTACACTCGACCGGCGAGTGGCGATTTATGTGAAAATCCCAGTTTTTCCTCTTTCTCGGTTCATAAATTTATTAGTTCTTGCCCTAGCATCATAAAACCAACATGAAACAAGAGGTCTATGTGTGCTTTTTGTTTCCATATTAGTTTCAATGGGGAGAGAAATGCGTAACATTATAGATTTTTGAGGTTTTTTCTTTGTATTTTAATCTGTAGTAACCCTGCGGGGCAGTGCCACTGACTGAAGTGTCTTTAGGCCATTCCCAAAGGGGGACATTTCTCGTTCATGCACAGTAGAATTGTAAATGGGCTGATTCATCAATGTCATGCTCATAACTGTGCTTGATCTACAACAGGGAACTTCTGCTTTTTTTTTTCCTAATCCTTACTATTGTCATTTTTCCTCTACTTCTTTTGTATTTTGTCACACTCTTGTGACCGGCTATTTCTGGGGTGCCTTGAAAGTCGAAACAGACTTTGTGCTGTTGAAACTAGAGAGGTGAGCAGAGTAAGCCTGATTCCCTGTAAAGACTTCTCTGTTGACATCCACCCCTTGGCGCTCATATGACCATATGCAGTTGCGAGTGCCGAAAAAGCTCTAAGAAATAAAATTAAAAAAAAGTCCATAGTAATACCTCTAATTGTTGACTCTTATATGACCTATTTGTGTTGCAAGTGCCATAGAACTCTTACTAAAATAAACTAAAGCATTACCGTTAGAGCTTAATAATGGCCCCCATTCATTATCTTTTACTGAAACACTGCCTTTCCTTCCTGACCTAATGCAGAACACAGTGCTGTCATTTGCCGTGTCTGCTAGAGATGGAGACACAGGAGCCAGGAGACCTGTGAAATTGGAAATCGTAGAAGGTCAGTGCGCAAACTTTTATTTTACAGCAATCTTTTTTTGTTCACTTTCTTTTATTTTGCAGGTGTTACTTTTATTGTATGGTTGTGGGAGTCTTGGGGATAGCAATGAGGCACAGTAGGCTTTCAATGTGGTTGAGAGTTTGGAGCCGACCGGCTCTATTCTGGACAAAGGATTTTTTTCTGCTTTATGATTGTAATATCTTGACACGAGTCTCATTCCTATTGGTTGGATGTCAGATGTGTTGTTATTTTACAGAATTTTCTATTATAGTAAAGAGAAATCTGGTTACATTTTTTTGCACGAAGAAAAATGGATTTTTTAATGTTCATATTTTTTTCAAATTCAAAGTTTTTGACAGATGACATCTTTGAATGAGACCAAAGTAGCTGTTCTTAAATTTGAAAAAGACAGCCTGGAAAGCTGAGTGGGTAATTTTCTGTTTTATCAGTAATACCTGTCACGACGCGGTGGAATCAGCTACTTGTCAATTTTGAGGCATGTATAGTTGTTGATATCTTCTGACGGCTTATTCATTTGCCTTTGCTTTCCGTGAAAAAAATTACCCATGTGTCTTGAATAGAAGTCACGATATTTGTGATTGAAGGAGGTGGGGTTGCCTGGTTTCAGTAGCATAATTAGGGAGAAAAAGTCCGACAAAATTCTGTAACTTCAGTAGCTTGAGAGCCTTAGAAAACTACAAAATTGCATACTTTGTGTCTTTAACCAACGTTTTTCCGTCCTATTGATACGAAAACGTGTTTTTGAATGGATATAAAAGGCGTTGAGCCAAAAAACAATTCACAATAAAATTTACCAAACTGGCGGAAAAATGCCTATTTCTCCGATTTCATTATTTTGATGAGCGCCTGATTTCACCACGATACCTCATATATATACAGTCATTCTAGATTGAAAAGTTCTATTCAGATGAAAAAAAAAAGGTATGCTTTTGTAGGTTAAAAAAATTAAATTCTCACATCTCATTATGCTCATAAATTTTCATGTCTTAATTTCATAGTATATTCTGTTTGCGCGCTCATATGACCTTAGCAGTTGCGAGCGCCGTAAAACCTTATACTACTACTATATTCTGTTTATACCTTTCAGATGTGTATGGTGTTTTCAACCTCACCACTACTACGGAGTCGCTGACTGAGTCTGGTGTTTATGAATCCAGTATTATTGTTGTGAATAAACTGGATAGGGAGGCTGTTGACAATTCCTATGCATTTGTGATTAAGGTAGGTTTTACTATTGTCTTCAATTTTGTTTTGACGTTTAGGGTCTGAAAGTTGAAGACATTGCGGGTGTTTTTGAATATTAAAGAAATAATAAAGATACTCTGTTTTTGTTAGCTACCGAATTATTATAGCAACTCATAAATACTACAGATAAAAAGCTTTAACTTTCTCTTCCAATATATGTCTTTGACTGATTTGGCAGAAACTTTACTTAATATTTTATATGCATTATGTTCGCAAGATTTATGTTATTCTTAATTAAAGTGAAGAATATTTTACTTGACGAAATCTGTTAGAATGAAGTCCAGTGTACAGAACACCCACCAGAGATGATGATTTTTTCAACAATAGACCTTCCACTGAGGAAAATGTTTGATTCTATTTTTCTCTTTACCAATTTTCTATCAAGGCTATTGAGTTGGACAACTCTGTACCTGGTAGTCCACCCACAGAAACTTCTGCAACAGCAACAGCAACCTACTCAATTTTTGTATCTGATGTGAATGACAACCCACCAGAGTTCGAAGAACCTGTTTATTATGTCAATGTGACAGAGAAGACGTATGATCCCAACTACAAAGAGGTGCAGATTGCGGATCTCCACATTGTCTGTCTCGACAGAGATGAGGTAATAGTCTTAGCTACAACTTTTTTTTTCGTGCCAAAGGGACCTACTGCTGATAAAATACCTCGTAGATGCAACTGCCGCTCTAACATAAGGGTGACCCCATCTGATCTCTTCTCTTTGAAATTATCTTTGAAGTTGTTGGAAATCTTATATTCTGGAGTATTCGTTTGTTCATTGTTTAATTGAAGTTTTTTCCATTAATTTGTTTCAAAATCAGTTCTTGTTTAGAACTTCCTTGAGATCATTTGTTTATAGAATTGACTGAGAAAGCAGGTTCTTTTTAAAAATATTAATTGCTATTTATTTACTGCAATATTTTCTTTGGTGCATGTGTGTTTGTTTGATACTTATTTTGTAATAAAGCTATGCTTTTTTATTTTGTGTTACAGAAGTTAACCAAAGTGCACTGTCAGTTTATTCCAATGGGAGGTCAACAAAGTTTTTCTTTTCTTATTATTTTGTTTTTTTTCTTTCTTTCCTGTAGCCGTCTAATGCTGAGTATGAGGTGAAAATTGTGAGCCAGCCATACCCTTCAGCTTACAGTGTAAGCCCTGCCGTGAGTTCCTTCGTTGGTTCGGGTAGCATGTTCCTGCAGATAGATGACCCGCGGTATTTGGACTATGATGTTCCGGAATACCGGAATCAAGTTGTTGTGGTATGAAATTGTGACTTATTTCTAAGATTTTGCTATCTGTTCTTTACCTCATAGCTGTCTGGACAAACCAACTCATAAGATATACCGAACTTCTAGCCCTTTATTTAATTTCCCGTGTATAAATTCGACTTATACAAGATGGATATTGATCTTGTCCAGGTTCATGCCAGTACACGCTATCATACTCAGGCATACTGATGCACTCACACACCTTTTCTCACTCTTACACCCACTCCCTTTAACTCACTGAAGACGCCAATCCTGCCCTTTCAAATGCTTGGAAAAGCTTAACTTCGCTATATCCATACAGATTTTCCAATTCTGTTTTCTTTTTCTGAAATTTAGAAAGGCTGGCAACAACATTTATATTAATATGAAATGTCAAATGGTGTGTTTCTGGTTTGTGTAAGTGGGCTTGAAATGTGCCACAACATTGAATTGAACTGCTTTTGGTCGGACAAATCTGTCTGACGCGTCTTTAAAGTGTTAAAAAAAATGTCTTTTGGCTGTATGAAAAATAAGAAGTACTATGATTTGATAGAAGAATGCATCATATACATAAATACTAGTTGCACTGTGTGGTGAAGAACCTGTGTCTTGAAATTTGATGGGGATTGACGGGTAGAAAAAGAAAAATAACGTAACTGTTAAGCATAATGAAATTTTGATTTTAGATGATCGAAATTTCTCTATTTGCATCTTGCTTGGCTTTCATAGGGTTGTTGCATCCCAAATCATCTAATTGTAGCCATCTTGATTCCAAGCTATCCTGTGGGCATCCACCAGTCACTGATATCATCTGTTCAGTATCATGTCTCTCTCTCTCTCTCTCTCTCTCTCTCTCTCTCTCTCTCTCTCCCCCCCCCCTCATATTTACTCTCGTTGGCTTTGTTGAAACCTTACTTCATATGAACCTCGCCGTGTGGAAGTTGCCATTTTATCCTTGATTTACAAGGGAATTTTCTTTATTAAAAACACAACAACAAAAATAAAACAAAAACAAAGCAAAAACGAAACAAAACAAAACTCTGAACAGAGCAAACTATGCATCCACTGTCCTCTTTCCCTGGTGCATAATAACTGTACATTTATTAGCCTATCTGTCTGCCTTTCATTGATCTCCAACAGTTGCTGCTGCTGCTGTAGTTGTTGCTGCTGCTGTTGTTGTTGTTGTTGTTGTTGTTGTTGTTGTTGTTGTTGTTGTTGTTGTTGTTGTTGGTGATGGTGATTTTGTTGCTTTTATTGTCGTTGCTATTGTTGTTGCAATTGTTGTTGTTATTGTTCTTGTTGCTGTTGT